TTGTAACTATATAGGTAAGTTACATAGATTTTTTAGGCTGCTGCTCAGTGCACTTTAATAATATACATTTTAGAGATAAATTAAATGGTTTTTGTTGCTGAGTAGCGCTAGTAAACATGCACAACCCTTTTCGTCTAATAACATTCAATGGCTCTCAAAGAGTTCAAGTTCTTATTTGTATACGTATCTATATTATGTTTTCACTAAGCTGAATGAATACGTAACCTCTCTGAAAAGTCTGTAGTATATTGCAGTTTTCCAGCTTAATGACTTTCTAAATCATGCACATATTTCTACATAAATATTGTAAAATGTTTATCCAGTTGCTGTAAACTACTATTAATTTAACAAAATATGGACACGGCTCGAATGGGTACCGTGCCCTTCTGCACTTGTAGTATTTAGAACCTAGTGTCCCTTAATTGTTAGTCCCTAGTATTAACCACAATTATGGTTCAATTCGATTCGTTACAAATCATTCAATTAAAATGCAATTAAAAACTACTTTCGGCCAGAAATTTGGTTGGAATGTGGAATATTTTAGCTATTGTATAAAATTATAGGTTAACTAGTGTACATATTGCTCGAAATCGAGCAATTGCAAAGAAGTACAGGAGTTACATATAAACAAATGACTTGTTAAAAAACTAATAACAGTCATAATTTCCGATGATTTTAAAAGAGTCAACTAAAAGATTATTAACTAATGGAAATACTCACAATTTACATAACAGTCCTATTCCAGTTTAAAGGGTTATTTTTTAACTATCAAACTGCCCATGGACGGGAAATGGTAAGCTTACAATTTAAGTCAACATAAAAAGTCTGTCAGCTTTTATAATGTACTGTACCTAAGTTATTTAGCCAATTTGTAGACAATAAGGTGTAGGCTACTTTAAACTCTACAGAACTCTCATGCTTCCATGGGGAGCAATTAATTATTTCATTTGTTTATAAATAACTCCTGTACTTCTTTGCAATTGCTCGATTTCGAGCAACAAGTACACTAGTTAATATTTAATTCCTGACAACAGCTGGAGTTTCAAAACAATGTTTGTTTCCCATGTTAATCTTATGGAGAAATACGAAACTTTAAAGGGTCCCAGGGCCTCACTCTCTAATTATTTACCTAAAAAGAAAGTTTCCTGCACAACTTCACGTTACGCTCTTTCCAATGACACCAAAAACATGTCAATCGGTTCAGTAGTTTCGGATGAGTAATTGTCACAAAAATCCTGCTTGCGTATTAAATAAGTAAATAGATATAGATAGATGTGACTGTGGACCCAATTTTGTACTAAACACACGCTGTTGTTTGATCTCGAGTAGCCGACCCAGTGTTAGCATCAAGAGGCCAAAAACTAGGAACGTAGCGCCAGCCACGTCCCTTTCACTTTCAGCAATTTTACAACCCTCGCCAACCCTACACATCCAAAGACAGAGAGAGAGAGAGAGAGAGAGGGAGAGAGACAGTAAAACAGCTGTCGAAGTCGATCGGGTCGACCTAGCCTCGGTCGTCAACTCGCTTTCTTTTTCTTCGCCTACAAGCGTTTGAATAGGGGCGCGGGAAAACTACTTGTGTGATGCGGCACGCGTAATACCGGAAAAGGCCTTCGGGTAGTTCTAGAGCGCCGCCAGAATTGGGTCGCTGGAGTCGCGTTTTAGTTGCCACTTTACTATTGAAGACTCTTAAGTGGAAAAGAGTTTATGACGAAATATACCCCCACCGCAACAAACCTGCAGACTAAGCAAATTTCTATTTGCCTGATTGGATTTACACTAAAATGACTTCTTGAAAATATCACAGTTATTCCATATTTAAATAGAATAAGTTTAACAAGTACTTAGGTTTGCTGCAACAGGGAGGGTAAAAGTGTGTTTTTTTGTGTAAAATAATAACATTTTATAAATAAATAAATGATTTTTTTCTAATTTGATGCAAATATTTTCATAAACAAGAAAACTACTACAGTTTACTTATTCCCTGGTGTGAGTGAGGGTATACATTCAACTCTAGAAAATACGCTGGTCAACGAACTACAAAGAGCCGCCGATGTCTAGAGTTTCCTTGGATGGGTGGCTGACCGACCGGTGGTCATAGGGTGACGACACAAAGGGGGTGGTAGGCGGGTATCCGTGTCGGCCAGTGAGTCAGTGTTACCGGTGTTACTTCAAAGATGAATTATTGCCCTCGGGGAATCCCGAGGTAGGCGCGGCGCCGCCAGCTCGACACTTGTTTCGGTCACTGGTCTTGGTTGATTGTTTCGTTTTCGTTTTACTATCTTTTGATACTTTTACATAAACGATATAGCCATGATATATTACTAATGAAAATTCAATAAGTACATTGCACACTAGGATAGTTCATGTAAACAGTTGTTACTTAAATAGTTTGGAACTCTGGCCACGTCTATATTCTTCATTAGAGTGAACTTAACTGCAGGCTATTCAATAGACTGTGAAAAAAAACTGTGAATGATTTTATGTACTTGGGGTTTGATATTTCTTTTATTATTATAGCAAAAACTACCAATCTTTGTCATCCGCGTCATAATTCTTGAGCTAACTACTTCTGCAATGATATACCTTACGTCACAAAACTGTATTAACCCTAGATCCAGTACCTCTGCTCCATAACATTGCCGTCCAGGAATCTTTGAACATATAGTTTGACAATAAGTGCATGGATAGTACAGCCGTTTCAACAAGGATTTATTTACTATATGTTCTTAAAACTGAAATTAATTAGAAAACTATTAAAATAAATTAAATTAATTAATTTGATGTGAATTTAGCTTTAGTTAACAACACTCATACAAGTTCATAAACATAAACCAAATATTTTTTTTTACTAGAAACGATTTGCAGGGTCGTCCAGATGAACTTGGAAATAGTACCATAGATAAAAGGAGTAGACATACTCTGTCATACATACATGTCTATACTTCTTTTTATCCTTATATTAGTTCATTAGAAAATCTGAATATACAGTAGTGCCGTGCATTTGAAGTACTTACTCAGAACACAGACTTACTTGAGGACAGTTACACAATAAAACGCAAAGATCTACGGAAGTAAAGACTACATTATTTAGTAAAAAAAAGAACAAGGATGCGTCAGTTAGGGCCAGTTAGACAATTGAAGTACACAGAATTGAATCACCATAGTATTGTCCATGCAACAACGTGAGAGGATAAAACATGTACTTCTTCAATTATAATTACATGTTTCTGTGTAAAACCGAAGACGTCTACAGACTTTACTAAGAAAAACTTCTCCCCGGTAACACAGGCAATGGGAATTCCTTCTAGACAAGGTTTTCAATAGGCCTACAACAAAATCATAAAACAAAAGATGTTTCTCAGGCTAAGTAGCACACTGTGCACTTCAGCAAATAAATAGTTTACCGAGATAACTATTGCTTACCAAGACAGCAGTGTCATTTAAGGAGAAATAGTACAAACTAATGTCACCAAAAGTCTAAATTCATTCTTTATTTTATTTTTTTAAGAGAGGGAAAAATAGACAACAAAGCAAATAACCGGTATTATCAATTTGTATTTATCTCTCAATTGAATAAATGTAACGGTAGTTACCTCACCACTGTTCACAATATTTGACCCTCCTATTACATAAATATGTTAGTTAATTTAATATACAAACTCGTGTACATGTTGCTCAAATTCGAGCAATTTCAAAGTATTACAGAATTTATTTCAAAACGAAAAAAAGTAATATTCAATGAGTTTAAAAGAGTTAACTCAAAGATCACCAGTGTGTAACTGCTGGAGATACTCACGATGTATATACAGTAATCAACATTTCCTGTAAATATTTTATCATATTTCATAAATTGGTATTGCATTTTAATGTTTCTACAAATGTTTCCTGACTTATAGCTGCATAAGGTTGTCCATGTTTATCTTATTTATTGATAAACCTATGCATGGCACCACCCTTGTCGCCAGCAGTAAGTTTACAAATTTCAGTAATTTTTTAATAAAGATAAACACTTTTTTGATCATATAAGGACTTCCTGTTGTCTGTAACAATTTTATTTGTTCAATCGGCGTATTTTTATTTATTTAGTTAAATAAAACATTTATTTCATTGAAGTAAACTAATATAGGCCTATTTATATTCACTGTACTGTGTATAACAAAATATCGATTGAGAAACAAACAATTAAACGTAATAAAAACATCACTAGTCCGCTGCATTGTGATAGCTGAAAATCGTCGGAATGAAAACCGCCGCTACAAGATACAGAAGTTGGTACGCCTGCAGGGCCCTCCACAGCTGCGCGCGCCGCTGGCACTGCCGCTCAAACACATCCCCACCTAAAAGACGAGCAAGTGGTAAGTCGGTCGGGAGGATTGACGACAAGTTGGTTTCTCGTGTATAATAATTTAGATTTACAGGCCGGTCAACTGGACTGACGATGAAATAACTTGTCGACGTACTGGTTTTCAGTAATTATCTATTTAATTAAAAAAGACGGTCTAGTGGCAAGACGACCAAGTATCTTGTCGGTCAACTGGTGGCCCCCCGTCCAAAGAGCCCTTTAACAAGAATACCTAATTAACAAATGAATTTAACTTTGAGTCTGGTTGCACTCCTGTGAAGTAAAACTATCATTTTCATTTTGAGCTGTGCTTACATGTTTTATTGTCGTTAAATGTCGTTTCTGACTTGTAGACAAACTCTTTAAAAATGTCCATCTAAAGACACATTAGTGTGAACTGAAGCATCGTAAAAATAAACACAGCAGGTATCCAAAACCTTAAGAGAGAATAGTATTTTTATATCAGTACACTTTATGAGTGAATGGAGACTAATTGACATTCTACACTGATACTATGACAAAATAAGAAAAGAGAGAGCTGGCAGATTTAAATAGGCATCACCTGTTTCCCTGTTTTTGATTAACAAGAAATATAGTTTTAACGATTACACACAACAAATGCTTTTCAATTTTATGTAAGATAAACAACTCTTACCTAAGTAGTCATCTGGAGGTCTTTCGAATACCTGTAGAAGGAAAAATAGAGATAAACTGTACGTTAAAACAAAATAACTCCTCGGGTTGTTTATAATAGCCTATCTTGACTGAGCTACAAACTCCACAAGATACGCCATGTTATACAAGACCTAAAAATATCTGTAAATTCAATTATTACCGATGCTTATTAATGATAGTCATCAAAGTGTTAATTTTATGTATTTAAAAAAACTAGTGGTCGTCCTGTGGTCGAAACTCGACCAAAAATAATTAATGTACAGACTTCTCTATTTTCTCCCTACACTGTAAATAAAAACATGTGATTGGAATTTCTTCCATTTGTTTTGATTTTCTGTTTACATTTTGTTGTTATTTCATCACCAGCATGGCAACCCATAAGATACATGTTATTTTTTTCAAATTTGTAAACTGATTTTTTTTGCTTATTTTTGAGCCTATTTTAATTTATAAAGGGATTCTGCACATCTACAGGAAAATATCTTTCCAACAGTATGTGTAGATCTCCCTGTGACGCACACGAGCTGAGAAAAAAGGTTTTAAAGAAACATGCTTGCCTATTAATATATAGGTTGCCTAACTTTTAGAATGACTTGTAGGTCTGACAAGCATTCTACCCTGGCCAATTTGATAAAACTAATCGTTGTGCACTTCTTTATTATTTAGGGGAGGGGGGGGGGAATGATCAAGCAATGTGCGTTTGATAATTTAATGAAAGATTTTAATACACAATTCCTACAGTCTTTGAGTGCCTGATTAGAATGTATAAACACATATTTCATTGTGATATGGAGGAAATAATGGAATATATAACTCAAAGGCCCAATGGAAAATTAGGGAAAACTGATTACTCCTTGAAATAAACTAATTATAAAATTACAAATAATTTAAACTACTTACAGAGAGTCTGCATGTACTGGAGAAGATTTCCCCAGCTTCATTATAAACTCTACAACAGTAAAGACCTTCATCATATAGTCCTGCATTCTTCACCTAAACAAAAATGTTGAAAGAATAACAATTATATTGCTAAGAAAAAAGTTATAATTTTGTTACATCTCTTTCTATTGAAGTTTAGACGAGTTTTGGGTTTCATCATTAAGTTTGTTAAGCAGTGTTGCCAAAAGAATGTTTGAAGTTAGTGTGAGTATTTTAATTTACCGTACTTACATTTTTGGCAAATATCCCATATGCCAAAACTGCGGCCAATCACCCCGCACCTGTTTTGCGCATGCCAAAGTCAAAGTTTCCTCCCTTGCCACACGGGTTACAAAACTTAGTAAGCTGTTACCATTGGTCTCATGGTAAGACTTGGACCCAGAACCGACTTGCTTTTTTGTTTTTAGGTCTCCAGAGGCCAAAAACACCATACGTTCAGATTCATATATCAGGAATATGAATCTAGTGTGTGATCTATTTCTACACCATTTTGTAGAGCTTGAAAATGGAATAATTTAGTATGTCGTAGCATTGTTATGTGCCTAATAGTTAAGGGAAAAAATGAAAAAAGTGCAAATTAGAGTTCCTAAGTTATTTTTTTATTTTTAAGAATTAGTAAACTGTTGTAGTTTTCTCACTTATGAATTTATTTGACCGAATTTGGAAATATAAGTTATTCCATACTAAACTATTAACATTTCACCAAAAACACATTATTACCTTCCATGTGTCAGCAAACCTAAGTAGTACTCATTAAACATAATGTTATTTAAATGAGGACTAAATCTGACACAATGTTTAACTAAATTATTTCCATACAAGTATTTTTTTTTTTTAATTTAAAGGCAGAAAAACACAAAATTAGACATCTATTGTGCTACTTTTGTTGCATCTATTTTTAAGCATATTATTCTTGTATACAACAATTCTTAGATATATAGCATAAATATTAATTAGAATACCTCAATCAAGTTGGACGACTCATTGAGAACAATGTTAGGCATTGCACAGTCATCATCAGAGCTGCGGAACCACTCATAGTGAGGTGCTGGGTAACCTTCTGCTTGGACTGTCAATACCAGAGTCTGCCTACTAGGTACAGACCTGACACGAGGTAGGTCTACCAACAACACAGGGTGAACTGCCATCAGGTCTACCACTACCTGCAAACAATCACTACATGATCAGAGCTGCGGAACCACTCATAGTGAGGTGCTGGGTAACCTTCTGCTTGGACTGTCAATACCAGAGTCTGCCTACTAGGTACAGACCTGACACGAGGTAGGTCTACCAACAACACAGGGTGAACTGCCATCAGGTCTACCACTACCTGCAAACAATCACTACATGATCAGAGCTGCGGAACCACTCATAGTGAGGTGCTGGGTAACCTTCTGCTTGGACTGTCAATACCAGAGTCTGCCTACTAGGTACAGACCTGACACGAGGTAGGTCTACCAACAACACAGGGTGAACTGCCATCAGGTCTACCACTACCTGCAAACAATCACTACATGATCAGAGCTGCGGAACCACTCATAGTGAGGTGCTGGGTAACCTTCTGCTTGGACTGTCAATACTAGAGTCTGCCTACTAGGTACAGACCTGACCCGGGGTAGGTCTACCAACAACACAGGGTGAACTGCCATCAGGTCTACCACTACCTGCAAACAATCACTACATGATCAGAGCTGTTGAACCACTCAAAGTGAGGTGCCGGGTAACCTTCTGCTTGGACTGTCAATACTAGAGTCTGCCTACTAGGTACAGACCTGACACGAGGTAGGTCTACCAACAACACAGGACGAACTGCCATCAGGTCTACCACTACCTGCAAACAATCAATTCATGATCAGAGCTGTGGAACCACTCATAGTGAGGTGCTGGGTAACCTTCTGCTTGGACTGTCAATACTAGAGTCTGCCTACTAGGTACAGACCTGACCCGGGGTAGGTCTACCAACAACACAGGACGAACTGCCATCAGGTCTACCACTACCTGCAAACAATCACTACATGATCAGAGCTGCGGAACCACTCAAAGTGAGGTGCTGGGTAACCTTCTGATTGGACTGTCAATACTAGAGTCTGCCTACTAGGTACAGACCTGACACGAGGTAGGTCTACCAACAACACAGGGTGAACCGCCATCAGGTCTACCACTACTTGCAAACAATCACTACATGATCAGAGCTGTGGAACCACTCAAAGTGAGGTGCTGGGTAACCTTCTGATTGGACTGTCAATACCAGAGTCTGCCTACTAGGTACAGACCTGACACGAGGTAGGTCTACCAACAACACAGGGTGAACCGCCATCAGGTCTACCACTACTTGCAAACAATCACTACATGATCAGAGCTGTGGAACCACTCAAAGTGAGGTGCTGGGTAACCTTCTGATTGGACTGTCAATACCAGAGTCTGCCTACTAGGTACAGACCTGACACGAGGTAGGTCTACCAACAACACAGGGTGAACCGCCATCAGGTCTACCACTACTTGCAAACAATCACTACATGATCAGAGCTGCGGAACCACTCAAAGTGAGGTGCTGGGTAACCTTCTGATTGGACTGTCAATACTAGAGTCTGCCTACTAGGTACAGACCTGACAAGAGGTAGGTCTACCAACAACACAGGGTGAACCGCCATCAGGTCTACCACTACTTGCAAACAATCACTACATGATCAGAGCTGTGGAACCACTCAAAGTGAGGTGCTGGGTAACCTTCTGATTGGACTGTCAATACCAGAGTCTGCCTACTAGGTACAGACCTGACACGAGGTAGGTCTACCAACAACACAGGGTGAACCGCCATCAGGTCTACCACTACCTGCAAACAATCACTACATGATCAGAGCTGTTGAACCACTCAAAGTGAGGTGCTGGGTAACCTTCTGATTGGACTGTCAATACCAGAGTCTGCCTACTAGGTACAGACCTGACACGAGGTAGGTCTACCAACAACACAGGGTGAACCGCCATCAGGTCTACCACTACTTGCAAACAATCACTACATGATCAGAGCTGCGGAACCACTCAAAGTGAGGTGCTGGGTAACCTTCTGATTGGACTGTCAATACCAGAGTCTGCCTACTAGGTACAGACCTGACACGAGGTAGGTCTACCAACAACACAGGGTGAACCGCCATCAGGTCTACCACTACTTGCAAACAATCACTACATGATCAGAGCTGCGGAACCACTCAAAGTGAGGTGCTGGGTAACCTTCTGATTGGACTGTCAATACCAGAGTCTGCCTACTAGGTACAGACCTGACACGAGGTAGGTCTACCAACAACACAGGGTGAACCGCCATCAGGTCTACCACTACTTGCAAACAATCACTACATGATCAGAGCTGCGGAACCACTCAAAGTGAGGTGCTGGGTAACCTTCTGATTGGACTGTCAATACTAGAGTCTGCCTACTAGGTACAGACCTGACCCGGGGTAGGTCTACCAACAACACAGGGTGAACCGCCATCAGGTCTAACACTACCTGCAAACAATCACTACATGATCAGAGCTGCGGAACCACTCAAAGTGAGGTGCTGGGTAACCTTCTGCTTGGACTGTCAATACTAGAGTCTGCCTACTAGGTACAGACCTGACACGAGGTAGGTCTACCAACAACACAGGGTGAACCGCCATCAGGTCTACCACTACTTGCAAACAATCACTACATGATCAGAGCTGTGGAACCACTCAAAGTGAGGTGCCGGGTAACCTTCTGCTTGGACTGTCAATACTAGAGTCTGCCTACTAGGTACAGACCTGACACGAGGTAGGTCTACCAACAACACAGGGTGAACCGCCATCAGGTCTACCACTACCTGCAAACCATCACTACATGATCAGAGCTGCGGAACCACTCAAAGTGAGGTGCCGGGTAACCTTCTGCTTGGACTGTCAATACTAGAGTCTGCCTACTAGGTACAGACCTGACACGAGGTAGGTCTACCAACAACACAGGGTGAACCGCCATCAGGTCTACCACTACTTGCAAACAATCACTACATGATCAGAGCTGTGGAACCACTCAAAGTGAGGTGTTGGGTAACCTTCTGCTTGGACTGTCAATACCAGAGTCTGCCTACTAGGTACAGACCTGACACGAGGTAGGTCTACCAACAACACAGGGTGAACCGCCATCAGGTCTACCACTACCTGCAAACAATCAATTCATGATCAGAGCTGTGGAACCACTCATAGTGAGGTGCTGGGTAACCTTCTGCTTGGACTGTCAATACTAGAGTCTGCCTACTAGGTACAGTCCTGACACGAGGTAGGTCTACCAACAACACAGGACGAACTGCCATCAGGTCTACTACTACCTGCAAACAATCACTACATGATTAGAGCTGTGGAACCACTCATAGTGAGGTGCTGGGTAACCTTCTGCTTGGACTGTCAATACTAGAGTCTGCCTACTAGGTACAGACCTGACCCGGGGTAGGTCTACCAACAACACAGGGTGAACCGCCATCAGGTCTACCACTACCTGCAAACAATCACTACATGATCAGAGCTGCGGAACCACTCAAAGTGAGGTGCTGGGTAACCTTCTGATTGGACTGTCAATACCAGAGTCTGCCTACTAGGTACAGACCTGACACGAGGTAGGTCTACCAACAACACAGGGTGAACCGCCATCAGGTCTACCACTACCTGCAAACAATCACTACATGATCAGAGCTGCGGAACCACTCAAAGTGAGGTGCTGGGTAACCTTCTGATTGGACTGTCAATACCAGAGTCTGCCTACTAGGTACAGACCTGACACGAGGTAGGTCTACCAACAACACAGGGTGAACTGCCATCAGGTCTACCACTACCTGCAAACAATCACTACATGATAACCAGTTAATATAACAATTATGCCAAAAATTTGAAAAAAAGCTTAATTAATTTTAACAGGATTTTTATCTTATTTGTTGTTTTGTATAATAGTAACTTTTACTTGATGTCAGTAGTAATAATTTTTGAGTTGTGTAAATTTATTAGTTATAGTATTTTTTTATTTTATTTTGATTATGACAACACTCCTATCCTTGTACGTTGTACTTTTTAAGATGTTTATGAGTGAATAAAGAATTTGAATTTAAATTTGAAAAGCACGACTTATTTTAGACGTCAAATACATTTTGATTGTTTAGAGAATAGAATGGAATATGCCTAACATGCATACATTTGGGTCAGACAAATCTTAGGCTGTTGCTGATTCCACAACAACAACAGTATCAACTAACCTCAGAGGAATGTGTTTCATTGATGTGTCCTCTGATTTCCTGGCGTAAAAGGCACCAGTAAACGCCAACATTTTCCTCCCTGAAACACAAAAGTTAAACTCAAACGACACAAACGCAAGCCAAATTCAAAGTTAAATAAAGTGTCCAATTTCTATTTACTAAAAATACTATTTTTATAAGGCTACTAAAACCTACATATCTTGAATAGGTTCATGCTGAATTTTGAGTAACTGTATATTTTTCAATACAAAAAAGTACTTTACTTATACTTTACTTTTTTTATACTTTTCTTTGAAATGGCGACCATACAAAGTAGGTATTTTAAGCCAAGTATGAATGGAGATGATTGTATGATGAGTGGCGCAAAGTAATAGGCCTTCCAAAAAGACCATTCAATAGAAAATAAAAAAGGCATATACAAATAGATGTATTCTCTATGAAATAAACAATGAATTGGCAACACCAATAGTATGATTTCAGGACACAATTCCAGTCATCATAATAACCCAACATCAATAGTGGCAAAACAACTAAACCAAAATCAGGGTGTTCACATTCTGGATATTTAGGGATAGTCATGGAAAAAATTCTGGTCATTAAAAGTCATGGAAATAGGCAAAAAGTCATGGAAATCCCCAATGGTGGAAGGATTTGAGGGGACCTTTCAATGCTCTAGTCGGCTGTAACCCTGACTATTGTAGCATTTTTCAGGATTTTTCGTAAAAGTAAAGCAACTAAATTTGTTACAGAGGTTTTAGTTTATGAGTATTGAGTTTCTATTAGTTCATTGTTGTACCTATTGTACTCCTTTGTTATCTGTTAATACATATTTCAGTATTTTCTGTGAAATAACTTATCCAGGCAGTATTATTCATGTGTGTATGTTATATTATAACTTTCGAGTAAAGCTTGTTAGTCATGGAAATCAATGATAAATGGTCATGGAAAGTCATAGAAATTAATGACAAATGCTCGGTGGACATCCTGAAAATTCATCTCACAAAATAACATTTGCTCAACGTCTTGCTGTCCCAAACCACGCCTACTCACAATAGTACTAGTAGATAGCTACTAGATTTAAAAACACATCAATAGCAATAGACCAGACTGTAACAATTTTTGTGTACCACTTTAGCCCATTCATAAATAATTGAGACTGATCACCTCAATTACGGATTAACCAGTTGAAGTAGCGCGCCTTCAATGGATGATGGGGATGAAGAAAAGAAATCTGCTCTTCTGACAAAGACTAAGGGGTTGTTGGATTCTTTTTCAACCAAAGATGCTGAGCCAAAATCTAAACTTGAGAATCCACCTGATAACTTAAATATTCCAGGATTATCTCAGTCAAATATAGAGATCAAAAAGACTTTGAATGAACCACTTCAATCTTCTGAGGATTTTTATGCTCCCGCACCTGTCAACACTTCTACAGACCACCCTAAGCCGGAACAGGCCAGCAGTAATCCAATATTCAATACTTTTTTGTTGAATCTGAATTTGTTGTCGAAAACATTACGAATAATACAGAGTTCCGTTGTGTCTCCCGTGCAATCTGTGTCGGTTTGTTGTTCTATTAAATGTGGTCGGCCTACCTAAATGTTTTTTAAAAGTTAAATTTGTGAAGTTTATGTGTCGACATGACCCCAGAATAATTAAAAGACTGAAGATGAACAAAAAGTATTCACTGTGAATAGCTTAAAAAAGTACTAATTTTTACACTTATAAACTTGTCTTAAACTCAAAACATTAAATGGAAACAAACTGTAAATGATATTAAAAAACAAGATTAGGTAGAATTGGGAATGAAGAGTTGAGAATAGGAATGGCTGAAGAAAGTTTGAGAGAACTAGTAGAGAAAGTGAGATTAAGATGGTTCGGCCACTTAAAAAGAATGGAAAATTATAAAATCCCCGAAAATGAGTGAACTCCACACGCACGGAAGAAGACCAAGAGGAAGACCTAGAAGAAGGTGGATAGATGAGGTGAGAGGAGATGTGGAAGCAAGAGGAGTGCAGTGGCATTAAGTGGAGGAAGAGGAATTGTGGAGAGGCCTAGAAAACACCCAGACCCGGAGATAACAGGAATGGGAGAGGACATGTATGTATGTTTGTACTCGAAACCACAATTTTTAAATGTATTAAATTTAAAGCACAAATGTGTTTTGCCTACAGCTTGTTCTGAATATTTAGTTTGGGCTGAATAAAGAGCTCACACATTACATTGCAAAATACCCACATCCCGGAGTAAGCATATATATCTGGATTTCCTTTTAACTATAACATCTATGTACCTGAAGGGAGATATGGTGAGCGTGTTGTTGCTCTGGCCAGGTAACACATTGTTATGGTAGTACCACTGATACGTTGGTCGAGGTATCCCAGAAGCCACACAAGTCAGCTCTAACACACTGCCACTCTCCACTCTCACTATGTCCTCTCCTCCCCCCGGCTGTACTTGGATAATCATAGGCTCTGGAAACATTCATATTAATGAAAAATAATAGCCGCGCTCAGCAATTTGAGGCAGTAGTGTTAGTCGAATATCCTTACTTAACGTAAACAGGACCATATTTCCCTACTGACGATTGCAAAACTGTTCAAACAGTTTATAGTATAACAGTTAGTATTTTTTTTTTAATCAACAATTTTGAACATAACCTGATTTTGACTCGACTAAAGGGCATCCAACAATAAGATTAAAATAACAAATTAATTTAATATTTTTTTTACTTTGGTGGGTTCTGAATTGCCCAACTCAAACAATTCAGGCGGAGCTTCAGTTGTAAAAGACACCGGCTACTCACTCAACACTAACTTTACATTCAAACACTGTAGGTTACATCCAGGGGCTTTGATAGTATCTTGGCCTTGGTTCTCAAAGAAAACATCCATTCTCTGTGAGCTCCCTTCCTGTACATTGTTAATCTTAACACAATGTATCTGTACGTTCTGTTCTTAATCAAGCCGCATTGGTAAGCCGCAAGTAATTGGTTGACTGATTGATTGATAACTTGACATTTTTGGTAACTGGTTTTTTTTTCAGATGAACTGAATTTGGCCAAAATACTTCCATTGCACAAGTCCAATGGTTTTACAGACATGAGTAACTATCGTCTGATATATTTGTTAAGTGTAATTGCTAAAATATTAGAGAACATTTTTAAAGACCAACTTGTTGTCTATATCCACCAGTGCAAAATGTTAAGTGAAAATCAATATGGGTTTGGGAGTGACAATAATATATCTAATTATCGATAATTTGATATTTATTATCGATAAACATCTATATTGGGAGGGCCATGAAATGTTCTGACATACGTCCAGAATATGCAGTTTAGAGACTCTAAGAGTTTTTATTTCTCATTATAATTCATTCACATACAGAAATGCTCTATATGGAGCAACAGCAAAAACTAATTTAGATGAAGCATTGAGTAGTGTACTCATTAAGCAGAAAAAAACTATCAGGGTAATGAAATATCTTAAAAGAAAAGAGCCAGTCAATAGCACCTTTCGTGAATTTGAGAGTAATCTTTGTACTCCTGTCATCTAAAAATATAAAGGCTGGTCAAGGGAGAAAATAGATACAGATTGGCAAAAACCGAAAATTCACACAAATTAAATTGTATTAAGTTTTTTAGTAAGCTTCCTGAAGAAGCAAAATTAGTTTCTTACAGTATTTTTAAAAATAAACTGTATGACTGGATGGTTAAAATCCTTTTTACAAAATTGATGATTATAAAGTTGTAAAATAAATATTAGATTTTGAAGAGTAAGTTAAAATAAAGCTTTTGTTTTTATTTGAGTTAATTATTACAATTTTATATATATTACTGTAAACACGGAATCACTTTGTAAATATGTTAACAAAAAATTATGTGTCCTATTTCATTTATAAAGATCAATGGAAATAAATATGTCTTATTCTTATTTTTACTCACTGAAGTATCAGATTTGTGGGGCTATCTCTAGTGTGAGCCGCCGGAATTTAAAATACGGCCTGAATGTAAACCACCAATGTTTCTATAAAAAATATTTTGATTATGGAATATTAAAATTTTACAAGAAAACTGTTTTAAGCTTTACTCATACTATAAAGAGTGGGTAATCTACCAAGAGCAACCACCATCAACTAAGGTATTTATATTCTGACAATCGCCACAGGTACATAAAAAAGGATCATTTAGTCATTCCCCATTTCAACCTTCGTTAGTTAGATCCACCTACTTCAGTATGAAACGTTACTTATAGATCTAAATGGGAAATTAAAAATGTAATGATATACCTGCGTGAGTTAGTAGGGACAACTCTTCTAACATATCAAATTCTCGCAGCATGGCACAAAACTCATTGTACGAACATTCCCTATCAAACAGCTCCTCGAGAAGCCATTGGGCCGCACTAATTCCCCTTCTCTCCAGCTCTCTTGCTCTATTGACGTTAAGGAACACTGGGATTCTAAAATATTTATACAAATTAGGCATACTTTAAGCTTTTTATGACAAAATCTAAAGTCAAGTCAAATCATCTTTATTTTGTACAGAAAATCTGTAGGTTATAATAGCCTCACAAAAATATAATAAAACTAAATTCTAAAACTATGAAAACTAAAATGCAACAACAAAATTCAAAGGGCAAAATAAGAAATCTTTTATAGAGTAGGGAGCTCGTTCTAGAAGTAGTCCTATAAGTTTCACCGCTCTCCCAAATTTTTCGCTGACTTGCTCCACTTTAAGGGGTTCAGGTAGCCCATTGAAGAACCTGATACGGTACCGTACTGTTGTAAAAGAGGTGTCTTTCAAAGAATATTGGCCTGTGCCTAGGTAGCTTAATATTGTTTTTGTGTCTGAGAGCGTATATACTGTGCATTGGATGGTACTGCGGTTGATAAAGATAATTTATTTTTTCAAACGACAGACAACTCATTATGTATATGGATGGAAATGTAAGAATATTATATTCCTTGAAAAGAGGATTGTAAGAAGTACAACCAGATATTCTAAATGCTGCTCTTAGAGCATTTTTTTGGAGACAGAAGACAAACTTTAATTGAACACTCACAAAGCTCCAGACTGCCATTAAATACGACAAGAATGGATAAATCGCTCCATAATAGGCACTCAAGGTACACCTGAAAGACCTCTTTTCACGAAAATTCCTGAGCTAAGGGCAGGCGCGCACTATCCCGACCACGACCACGACCAAAAGCCCGACCGATCGTTGTCATTCACCATGCGACCAGAGCACGACCCGACCAAGGCAACAATGTTTTACAAACTTCAGTGTCAAGATGATTGTTGAATAAGTAGTTGCTGGGGTGCATTTGTATTGTAGGTACGTTAAGCGGAAGAAGAAACTATACTGGGTACATCCAATGTTAACTGCCAGGTCTACAAAAGGGCATTTTGCAACATTTTATAAAGTGCTACGTCAATTTGAAGACAGGTTTCAAAAGTGTCAAAATCCTGCGACATTTTACCAAATGAGTCACTTCACAGACCGGCGCAAAAAACCGTGCTCGCCGTTTGATTGATCTAGGAATACTTCTGGGGGTTGAGTGGTGTATTGGTCGGGTCGGAGGCAAGTCGGGGGTAGTGCGCGTCGTCCCATTACATTGTGTGCTATTTCTGGCTGCAACGACCAGCGGGTCGGGCCCGACCAAACTGGAAAATTTTGGTCGTGCGACCAGGGTCCGACCAGTCGACCATTGTCCCATTTATTCCTATTATAAAACTGGTCGTATCCGACCAGTCGGAGTCGTGGTCGTGGTCGTGGTCGGGATAGTGCGCGCCGGCCCTAAGTCTTCTGGATATGAGCTCTATATGGTCATAAGAGTTGAGCAGCCTATCTAAACCCAAACTAAGAAACTTTGCAGTGCTGCTTAGGTTTTTATATTCTAAACTATAATACCTACTATTAGAAACATAAATTTGTTTAACAGAAAACACAAATGAAAACAAATCTTGAGGAAAAATGACTAAGGCCTACCTGTAAGTTCTTAGTTTTTCAACGATGTTCAGCCAACGATCATTGTTGTTTAAATCATTCACTAACATTCGGTGAACTGTTGGATTTAGAGCATTTTCAAGTAGCAGTTCCATTGTTATTAATCGCTTTTAATTCTTCTAAAAAAAGACTTTTTTAAGCTACTCACTTCATCCTAAAACAGAAGAAGACAATTTAAACAAATGTAGCCTAAAAGTTAGTAAAATGTTTAAGAATGTTAAGAATAGTTAACCTCTTATTACCTCCTTCTCGATCTTTTGTCATAAAAAAATAAAAAAACAACAATGTTATGAAAAGAAATGTTTAGAGACCAAGGGTACACTTCCATATCTGTTGGCATAAACAACCTAATGAGTAATATTGATTATTTGATTTTATATCGTTTGGTTAGTTAGGTTATGTTAACCTTACCTAAATCGATATATAGATTGATATTTTCATTCGGTTGTTTGTGCCAACAGATATGGAAGTGTACCAAATTTATATGGTTTTATTCAACTTAAAAATCTGCTACATTTTATATGAGAGAATTAACACAAAAGTGAAAACATTACATACATAGACAAAAACAATCTTAAATAAAACAGCTGATGAAATATTTGACAGTACAATAGAAATCACATGACATAACATTCCCCCATCTTTTTTTAAAATGTAATCTCTTAGATAGGTGGGATGCCTTCTGACTCTAGTGGAACGGCGCATGTTTGTTTCAAATTCAAATTCAAAACTTCTTTATTTGTTTTATGTACAGTAATACAATAAATAGTGTCACAGTTCCTTAATCTAACATTGCATTGAATTATTCAGTCATACAGCATCAGCATTCACACTGATTAAATTGTACAACTCTTCAAGAGAGTAAAAAGCATTTCTGATTAAAAAACTTTTGAGTTCGCTTTTGAACTTGTTTTGATTTTCTATGTTCAATATTTCTTTTGGGATATGTTTTAAGAATACAGAACCGGCATAGGATGGTTTCTTTTTATATAGCTCAGAATTGTGAAAAGGTAAGACTATGTTTTTTTTATTTCTGGTATTGTATTTATGTATGTCTTCATGTGTTGTAAAATTGGCTTTATTTTTCCTGACATGCATAATACACTCAAGGATATACAAACTATAGACGGTTAATATATTTTGTTTAATAAAATGCTCCCTTACAGATTCATCAAACTCGAGATTTAACATGGCTCTTATAGCTCTTTTTTGACTAATTAAAATTTCACAAAGGTTTTGTTTGGTTGTACCTCCATAGACACAAACTCCATAAGATATATGGGATTGCACGTGGGCATGAAAAACATTTTTTAGAACTTTTGAATTACAAAGATAATACAATCGTTTTAAGGCATAAATTCCTGAGTTTATTTTTGCTAAAAGATGGTCTATATGCAGGTCCCAACTAAGATGGTTATCGATATAAACTCCCAAAAATTTTGATTTATCTACCCTTTCTATTATATTATTATCAATAAAAATGTTAAAATCATTCTTGTTTCGGTTTTGTTTTGTAGTGAAATGAATGTAGTTAGTCTTCTGCGAGTTTAATATTAGATTATTGGATGAAAAAAAATCCTGAAGTTTACCTAATTCTATGAATGAATTGATTTCCATTTCCAAGCCAGTCTTTGCGGACATAATAAGATTAGAGTCGTCTGCATCTAGTATTAGTTGATTTTTTATGTCCTTAAGTTTACTTAGATAGTTTGGCATATCCCTGATGTAACTAATAAATAATAAAGGTCCAAGTATTGACCCTTGTGGTACCCCGTGTTTGATTGGTTGCAAAATTGATTGATATTTTATCACTTGATTTCCTTCTGTTTTTGATATTTCTACATATTGACTCCTATTTTGAAGGTAACTTTCAAACCAATTTAAATATGAGTTTTTGACGCCTATACTACTTAATTTTTCAACAATTTTGGTATGGGATATGCTGTCAAAGGCTTTAGATAAATCCATAAAAATTCCAGTTAGGTACTATGTTTTTCTCATCCATTGATTCAATTACTGACTCAATGAAAGTAATTAGAGCGGTATTGACAGATTTGTCCTGTCTAAAACCATGTTGTTCTGGGCAAAAGAGATTATTATCATTCAAATGTTTTACCAATCTTAAATACATGGCTTTTTCAAAAATTTTTGATGTCGAAGGTAAAATAGAAATAGGACGATAATTTTGAATTTCTGTGTCATCTCCCTTTTTCAAGACTGGTACCACTTTTGAAATTTTGAGTTGCTCTGGAAAAATTCCTGAAATGTACGAAGCGTTGACTAAATGAACTAATGGCTTGATGAGTGGATCCCTAACAAATTTTATTACTTTAACTGGTACCCCATCATAGCCACTAGACCACTTATTTCAATTTCAATTTCAATTTCAGATTAAATAGAATTCCCAACTTCAGGTTGAAGCAGGTTAGATTCACGTCTCAGGTCTTGTAGAACAGGATCTAGTTCTTGACTGGGATTTTCCGAAGTCACAGGCTGCATCCTCTTGTTGGAAAGCTTCAGCAAATTTGTCGCACCAATACCAGAGCCTCTCTACCATCATTATATTTTACTTGATTCGAGCGTAGTCTGGATTAGTCTCTATCAGCTGAGCTTGTTCCACTAAAGGTTAGCATAACCATAGACAAAAATAATATAGACTGTCAGCCGTGCTGTGGTTACCATATGTTCTGGCGCACACCGCTGGTAGCACAGTGTAGTTACGTAGTGTGTAGTCTGTAACTACATAGCGCTCCCAGTGGTGTGCGCCAGAACCTATGGTAACCGCAGCACAGCTGATGGTCTATATTTAATTCTTTTTGTCTAAGGCATAACTTACTTATTAGGTACCAACCTTATATTACTTTAAGCTTTAAAACTGTTCCACAAAAACACTTGAACAGTAATATTTCAATTGGTAGGGCCAAGAATAACAGATAATAACTTAACTTAACCAAACTTTATTCTTAATTGAAACTGCATTTAAACTTATTCATTCCCTAGAAAATGTTGTGGCTGAGAAAATTGAATCATAAAAGCAGTAAATAAGTATTATACCAAAAACTGCAAATTCTACACAAACTATAACATAGGTGATAATATTTACCGGGTATATTTTTGATGAACAAGGCCTAGCCTAGTGAAAAATATTCAAAAACTTGACATAGGCCTAGGCCTAATTCATGTTTTCACATTTTTTTATCATTGAAAAATAACTTTTGGCCTAGAATTCCTTCTGCATCGTAAAAAGACACAATATTCTTTTATCATTTATGAGTCAGATTTCCTTATCCTGCAATCAAAAACAAAAAAAAGCAACCACAACACACACAACATACAAAACACTACACTTACACTTACACTTGCCAGCAGACGATGACGATGACAGACAGGGTAGACAACTTTAAATGAAATTGCAACTAAAACAGTTGTATACTATCATTGAGTTTACACCATAGATAAAACATGGTTTACACATACCAATTACTATGCTTATACAATTCAATTGAGCATATGTAATTTAATTAAAGTGCAGTGCGGTCAATTACACGAGACTTTTAACACCTAAATAGGAAAATATAAATTAGCATATATGTTTTATATATGACAGTACTTGAGTAGGCTAATATAAAAACGTTGCTAGTTTGTGGAACGTTAGGGAAATGTTACCATACAAATATTAAAGTATGCCGCGTTTTTATAATACGAATAAGAAATAAAGAATAAGAAAAAAACCGTGATCTCCGAGAATTGTAAGGATCCTGACATTGTGGCAAAAGTAAATAGTAGGAGACTATAAGATGGGCATGTCATGTGGAAAGAAGAGAAAAATTGCTTACTTAAAAGGGTCTCAAATTGACAACCACAAGGCACTCGACCGTTAGTTGCGATGGAGAGAAAAAGTACAGAGGGATCTACAACGAATGGATGCTTCCCTGGAGGCTGGACTCAGCGGCAGACCGGCAGCAGTGGAGACAGCTTGATGTTGACGGAGGCCAAAAAACTTCTTAGGTTTGAGTGGCCAAGTAAGGATTTTCCGTTTTAAGCCATTACAGTAGCACGTTTGGTAGAGTCGGAACTCGGAAACGATCGGCAAAGTTGGGGGCGATCGGTATGACATATATAGAGAGCGATCGAGCGATCAGGATCAGACAGCGGAAGCGATAAGTAGATTTTAGGAGCAATGGACAGACACGTGGCTGCTTTTCCTTCAATATAGTTCGGGAGTGTTTTATTATAATTTATTCTTTATTAGCCTATTAGTGCCATAGCCCTGTGTGGTGCACGCATATTTTGTTTGAGTTGATGATTGAAAGATTGATACAATTGAAATTATTTAATTAACAAGATGTAGATTGATGTAAAAGTGAGTAACTGTGTTGTTTAATACTTCATTGTACATTAATTATTAACAAATAAAATAATAACATCTGTCATATGACAGACGTTTTTATTAACTTTTTACAGCATTTATTTATGGTTTAATGATGGTTTAAAACATTATTCACAGCAGTGTTAACAAAATAAGAACAAGAAATTAACAAGAGTTTGGTTTAACTTTAAATTTATTGCTAAGTTAGAATGGTTATAAAACATGTACTATATAAATGATTTTAAAACATACACGTCACACGTTATAAAAATAAGTGTGCCTATATTGAATTCCTTGTGGACTGGACCATTGTTAACTTAAAACCCCCGCTGCAGCAAACCTGCCGAGGCTGCCGACTAAGCGACTGATTGGATTTACACTATGACTCCTTAAAAATATCACATTTTTAAATATAATTAGTTTAACGTTGTACTTAGGTTTGCTGCAACAGGAAGGGTTAAAATTATTTTCAAATGTTAATACAGTAGTTTAGTAAGATATGGATGCATTTTCCAAATTTGATCAAAATTTGTTCATAAACAAGCAAACTACAACAGTTTACTTATAAGAATAACATGGGAATTTTAAATTTACAATTTTTTGGAATTTGCTCCGTAGCCTAACCATTAAGCGCTTAATACAACGCTTCAATATACTAAATTATTTGGTTTTTTTAAGTTCTACAAAATTGTTTGGATAGAAATTTTATGTATTAATTTGAACGGATTGTGTTTTTGGCCTCTAGGGACCTCAAAATGAAAAAGTATATCGGTCCCGGGCCCAGGTCTTACCATGAGTACTACGGTAATAGCTTATTCCCTATATGGGAAATTCGCTAAATATGATCGAACAATGTTCAGATAGTGATTGAATCGTTGAGAGCACTCAAAAGACAAAGATTATATTGTTACCATTCATGTGTGTGATGCGGGTGCGGGATGATGCGTACAACGGCAGGTAGCGACTGCGCTTGCTTAATACTTATACTCTGTGACGTAACCAAGGCCGGCCCACTTTCATGGCTCAGTCAGTCAGTGGGCCAAGCGCCTGCTGCAATCATCTATCTGCTGGACATGGCTTCTACCGGCATCAGCATAGCTCTTCTGATAGTGGTAAGTATTTACACCGACTTAAAATAGCGAAAGTAGACTTATCATCTGACGGTATCGTGTCATCTGAAGAGTTTTGGACGCATTTCATGTTTGGCTACATCTGAGTGTGCCGATGTCGACTACGGGGTAGCGGATTTTTATCCCCCTGGAATTTTACCCCCTGGGCAAACGTGACGTCACAAACCAGGGGGTAAAATTCCGGCCGCGAACTTTTGAGTTTCGCGACATCAGCTCGATGGATTAAACGCTGAATTAAACATATATTTTCACGGTTGTGAGTTTAATCAGAACATAACAAATTATAAAAACCTCGAATGTACGGCCCGGATTTTTACCCCCGGAATTTTACCCCCGGAATTTTACCCCCCGGATTTTTACCCCCGGAATTTTACCCCCGGAATTTTAACCCCCGGAATTTTACCCCCGGAATTTTACCCCCGGAATTTTACCCCCGGATTTTTACCCCCTGGCCAGATATATAAATTAGTGAGAATGATTAATTATCGTCATTCAGTTTTAATTTAATGGTAAACATTTTATTATTAAATAGCCTATCTTAATTTATATGTAACATTAACTAATTTTGAGATTCGAATGTCAGGATTGGATCTTTGAAGCCAACTGTTGGTTAATATGATTAAAATGAAACAGCGAATTCTGTTTACTTAGTTGAGATTACAAAATAAATAAATAGAGATAGGCTACTAAATAACGAAATGTTTACTATTAATTAAAAACAGAAAAAAAAATCAATCATTCATTTTCTAAAATCAGCCAGGGGGTAAAATTCCGGGGGTAAAATTCCGGGGGTAAAAATCCGGCCCGTACATCTTCAGTTGTCTAAACGCTAGTTATATGGACAGGGGGTAAAATTCCGGTTTTTATCGCTAATATAACTAATCACGCTCTGACTATTTTCATTAGACTTCCAAATCCGCGGGGGTAAAATTCCGGCCGCGAACAAACTTTTGGCCACTCAGCTTACTACGTCATAGTGACGTCAGCTTTGCCCATGGGGTAAAATTCCAGGGGGATAAAATTTCGGCGACCCTCGACTACAAGTAGGCTACATTGGAATGGATCAGTGTCACTGGACTTGAACTAGACATGATAAACGAGCTTCAAAATTTACAATAAGATTAGAAGTCTACTTGTGCTAATAGTCGGTCTATGGTAGATTTACAATCGATATACAGTATTTGAAATATTGTAATTTTGTACGTAGTTTTTTTTCATCCAAATAACTGTCTTAAAAACATATTGTTTTCTTGAATCTAAATATTTCTCAACTAAGAAGCAATCTTTAAAAGGTAAAAGGCTTTTGCATTATTCGTTTTGCATCGGAAACTAGCTTTGAGCCCAATTAAAATTGACATGGCCCTCTCGTTTATTATAATTGACCTAACAATATTGAAACAATACATTTTTAACAGTATTGAATATACAACTATTTATTAGACCTTATGAGGATTTTACTTAAATTATTAAAAATATCCATTTACAGTATACACGTTTACAGACTTTTAGCGAATCTTCCAAGAAAAGTACCTATTATCGTAGGCAAGACTAGACCTGGTTGCCTGGGACCGATATCCCTTTTCATTTTGATGTCTCCAGAGGCCAAAAACACTATTCGTTCGGAATTGTATCTACGTATAATTTATGAAATATTTGGTTTCAGCACTTGCTAAAACTTGAATGAGTTGGCGAACCAGCAAGATCCGGTCGTAGAAACATGGTATTACAGTAAATGTTTTTATAATGTTCAAAACATTTTTATTTTTAATTTGTTCCCTTAAAATATGGTAATACTCATTTTTCATTACAGCCATCGTGTAGAGATTAAAACAACAAATAATTTTGTATATTGAAGTGTTGTACAATTAAACTTAACGGAGAAAATCCCCAAAAAAACTGTACATTTTTATTCCCAAGTTATTCTAATAGAGAAAACGAAAACTTTCATAGCTTACTTGTTTATGGATTGATCAAATCTGGTAAATTTATTGATTTCGTCCTATACTATACTCATTTGGTCAAAAACACTGTTAACCTACCCCGTAGTAGCAAACCTAAGCACTCGTGAAATCGAATGTTTTTTTTAAATGTGGTATAAATATAATATTAAAGGTATATATAATAACTTAATATTTAATATAATACTAGAGCTCGCCCCGTGGTCAAAAACTCGACCAAAAGTATATATTGTGATGTTTGCACTCTATTTTTACCCCTCACTGTAAATAAAACATGTGATTGGGATTTATTCAATTTGTTTTGATTTTCTGTTTATATTTTGTAGTTATTTCGTCACCAACATGGCAACCCATGTTATTTTTTATATTTTAAATTCATTTTTTGTGGTTTTTTATTCTATTTTAATTTATAAAAGATTTTGCACATCTACATACAAATATCTTTCTAACAGTAGGGTATTTTCCCTGTGATGCACACGAGCTGAAGATAAAGGTTTCCAATTATTTAAACACACTTGTCTATTAATTATATACGAGTGGTCGTCCAGTGGTCGAAAACTCGACCAAAAATATATAATGTATACGCATTGACTATTGGATACTGAAGTAGACATCCCATCTAGGACCAGCTGTCGCCATTTTTTTTTTAATTGAAAAACATGTTGTTGTGTGAGCCAGTCACAAAATGCGTGTCTAAATTCTATGTTATAGGCTAGGTACCTTATTTTTTGTTTGCTGACAAAGTTGATGGGTCATAACAGTTGCTATAACTCATAATAAGTCATTCTAAAAGTTTGACTTGGTAAAGCACATTGTGTGTATTCGACAAAAAATAGTCATTTAGATTAATCTTTTGGTGGCTCACTTCAACTACGATGAATTATGAATTTAATTAAAAAACTGGCGACAAAGTGAAATTACTAAAAATAGTTTTTAAACGGAGGTCTCGGCTCGTATTATTGACAAATTATGAGTATTAAATTGTTAACCAGTGCAACTGCAATGTCTTCCTTTATGTTATGCACTAGATTTGTCACATAAATACATAATTTAAGATTTCCGGCGTTTTTTACTAGATTTGTGCTCAATTTAATAATTTATAATGTTTGAAAAATAGCAGAATGAAGATGGATTGAAAAACATGTAAAAACACTAAACACAGATGGATAGTGTTGGACTTTAAACACTTTAGGAAAACACTTTTAAAAACACTTTAAGTATACATTTAGACTTTGGGTATATAATTTTTAGAGTCACATTCAAAGAATGGTTTTTAAATCTAGGATTGAATTAATATCTGTAAGCATGGTCAAGTAACGCATTATTATCGTAATATCATAAGTAAAATATGAGAAATTTGCTATAAACTACTTAACATTTTTATTTAGATTTCTATACACTTTAAATACTGGTACCTACATAATATTGTTCCTTGACATTTTAAAGATAAAAGACGTAGGGAATAAAAACAATTGACGTAAAAACAGATTACTGTATTGAGACGGGTTGCGAGATTTACGGAACGTGTTGCCCAACCATAGTTCTTTTGCTAGTGTATCTAGGACCTTTGGCTCTCAAAGAAACGGCAGAGTAAATCTCAAATTGCCCTTAAACAACCGCAGCGTTGGTAATAACAAATCCGTCGCAAACCATGAATTAATTGTAAAGTCGTACCTGTTTATTTCAGGCTTAATTTTGTGTTGTTTATTGATACATGTTTAGTTTTGCCGTTGGTTCTGACACATGCATGTGGATGGATGTGATGTGATGTAACGTCTGAAATGTTTTGTTGTCGCAGTTCCACTCGAGGAGTCACACTTTCACAGTTCAAGGTCTTTCTTGAGTCTTCAGATTCCCAGTCATAAATAGGAATATCAAACCGTTCATTTTCCCAAACCAAACTGGTTTATATTCTGGCTTGATGATATTCTCAAGCAGAACAAAAAAGATCTGTATACATATTTAAATTGATTAAACGTGTGCAGTAAAAAAATCAAGCCATTTGAGCTCATTGGTGACGCGGTTTCTCAAGGGATATTTACCGGAACTTTTGTTATCCTAAAGATAAGTGGGCTTTATAGCTTATTCGATTTTCATCATATCGATGTTGATTCAAGAGTATGACAAATAGAATAAATGGTCAATTTTCTGCAAACTCCTGCAGGGATATGTATATCGTTTGACTTTAGTGAAACAGTTCTCCTGCACAGAAAAGGTTCTCGTCGCCTTTGGATTTTCTAGATAGGTAGACCCACAACTTTGGTGTGCTCCGAACCACCTTCTAGTTACAACCACTTCTAGCTCTTGGGGATACCGGGCTTCCCGCACTACAGTTAGGCTCCACGAATATTACAACTTCTGATCTAATATTCGTCTTATCACTACTGGACCAGTCTTGACATTATTGAGTTTGTGCAAGTTGTGTCTTTATGCTGTGTTTTTTAGGTTACGTTCATGCGCATTTAATTTCAAACGTATTTCATTACAATCATTTCATGCCATGACCGATGGAAACGTTATACGCCTATCATTGCTGCGGTCAAGCAACGTCACCACCGATAAATTCGTTAGCGAATTTTAAATATCCGATCCAACGATAAGAGAATTTACAACAAAGATAATTCATATTGTTTATGAATAATTGGTTTGAATAAACAATAATACAGCCATGCTTCCAGTCAAGTGATTTTAGTATCCAAAAGGCAAGATGTAATTAAATTGTAAATTGAACTAATTAGACTAAATATAAATGCAAAATTAATTGAATGGTTGTGATAACTATTTATAATTTTTAAGATGATAACTCTAGATCGGCTGCCGAAGGCTGTGGTTTCCTAGACGCGTAATAGATGCGCAGCGGTTTAGATGCGCTGCGGCTTTTGTCCAGGTCCCAAAACGCAGCTGCCGTGAGTGGTTTCCTAGACTGCATACAATACACACGGTTGGTGCGTTAAAGTTCACGGGAGAGATTACTAGTGGCTACTATGATGTTATACGATGATTTAGATAGTGATATCTATATGTTGGCATTAAAAGCTTTGAAGAAGCGTAAGCAGAGAAAAGTATATAATTAGGAACTGTACGTGGCCCTCACGGATCGTTTAACTGTAGCGTTAAAGCAAACATTTCAATTTAAAATGTAAACAATAAATCTTAATTTACTCTGTCCAACTTTGCTTTTCCTGTGTTTACATTTACCTATTCGGGATTTACCGAATCGATGAAAATACCTTTTACAAGTATAACTGCAATAAGCGTTTTATACTTATACAGTACGCTAACCCCGTAAGAAGTTTGGGTAGGCCTACTATGCTAGTAATTAATATTGGCTTATTACTAAAATGTTCAGGACTTCTTAAAATAATTATGGGGGCTCTTATATCTGGGAATTGGTGTTGTGCTGACATGAAATGAATATTTGTCAAGATTAGGTTTATTTACTAATAACAACAATAAGAAAATATGTAAGGACAAATTAATTGTAGGGAACATGTAACAAGGGAATTCAATTTTAAAATCACACATTATGGGGAAATTAACACTACATAACGAGTGATATGAAATTTAATACTATAAAATTTTAATTGTATGAACAGAGTACTTCAATAATATGTTGTTAGAAGATACAAATTCAATTAATTTTTCGTCGTTGTTGGAGAATTTTGCCTTATGTACAAAATTTACTTCCGAATCCATTGCACGAGACATGTCTAAAACGCAGCGCAACTCAGATTTGACTGCTCTGAGAGCAGTCAGTGAAATACGCAGCTATTGGTGCGCGCGTATTAGATGCGCGCGCATTAGATACGCAGCCTTGGAAACCGCTTACACGAAACTCCATAAGACAAGTGTGCTGCGTATTAGATGCGCACACGCAGCGCATCTAATACGCGTCTAGGAAACCACAGCCGAAACGTGAGAAGGGTTGATTAGGTCAGGCTAAAGTGGTCAGTGTTTTTTGATAGATGGAAAGATCACCATATTAGTTCATTTTATATAGTTTTGGAATACTGTAATCGGATCCTTGGTACGTAGCTTGACGATCAATTGTTAATAAAATCTGACAGTCGTATGGACATAACACATTACACACACCCACTACACGTGTTTCATTTTTATGAACCGTCTGACTGCCACATGTAATAAAGACTAAAAGTCTGTTGCGAATGTAGATTTTTTCGTAGCCCGACAATTCGACCGACCGTAATCTAACCATAATAATGAATTTTCACTATCAATCTTGAATACCCTTAAAATATTATTTTTCAATCACTATTGTATTTAAAGTGAAAGTAAAAAATTCCTTTAAAACTAATTTCTACTAGAATTTGCGGTTCTCAGAGAAATATACCAGAGAATAAACACATTGCAGTTTTAGAATTCTGTTTTAAAGAATGCCTTAATAACATGTATAGTCAATGAGTATCTAAAGTAAACGTAACAGCTATTTAACACATTGATTATAATATTAAGAAGCCCACACATTTCTCTATTTTAAAAACAGTAGGCTTATCAAAAAATGCATTAAATATTTGTAGAGAAAGTTTGTTTTTTAATAGATTTTTAGCAATGTGTTTATTTTGTCGAGATTAATGTTTTGAAATGATAAATAAACCAGGACCTTCTGAAACCACCGCGCCCGTACCAACTCACAAGAACACACTCTATTGGATCAATTCAATTACAAGAGCGATGTAACTATTATCAATTTTCTTGGTAATTTTTATGTAGATACCTAGCCTGCGTTTTTATAGTTAAACTAGGACTACAGTGACGGTTTCACTAGCACCGGCAGCCAAAACATACGAACTCAAAGCAGTAAAGCTGTGAGAAATGTGTCGGGAGTTTGAAGGCGTTCAATAAATCCCGGTTTCAACGCAACCTGGACTATTTTCCCAACACCCCAAGTCCAAAGTTCGAAACTAAAACATTTTCGTAAACTAACTTAAGCTATTTAACTAACGAAGAAAATATATTGTATACAATTTTCCTACCTGAAGTACTACATGATAATACTAATAATCAGCACGATATAAAATGGTCTAATACAGCGTAGCGTTAGTACAATAGGTATAAATAGATTCGACAACTCCAGTAATTTTTATTATTGGAGCTTTTTAAATTTCCGTTTGAAATGCTGTACTTGCTTTTGGATTGATATAACTGTCGTGTATTAGTCTTGAACAACAAATTGGTCAATAATTGTCGGAGACATTTTGTACATTTTCCATGATTACGAAAACCTTATTATCTTCACCCGCGATTGCTGTGAAATCCTCTCAATGTAACCCCCAAAATCTCCTCCCCCGGCTACGCCACTGGGCCATAGTGATAAAGTTTATTCTGTTACCAATAATTCGTGTACTTTTTCTTTTAACCCACCTTAAGCTATAGGAATACCTGTAAAAAGAGTCTTCTCCGAACTGTAAACTTCCTGCACTATACCGTTCTAACTAGAACACTTCTTGCCTTATGTTCCAGGTTCTAGCAGTTGCCTCAGCCGCTGTCCCTGCTCAGAGGTTCCCCAGCAACCAGGAGGTTCCTACCATCAAGGGTGTTCTGGAGGCGCTGCGCTTCGCCTTCGTCGGTTCTCCCACCTACCACGCCAAGCAGCCCTGGGACTTTGACCCAGAGGTACCGTACTATCACAGACAATTACTTCAGGCTAGACCTAGGGGTTGCGGCATTATCACTTAGATAAAATCCATTGGTGACTTGGTGGGGATCGAACCCGGGACCTCAGGGACTGAAGTCCCGCGCTCTAACCACTACGCCAGCTCGCTCCCCCCCCCCCCAAAAAAGGAAAAAAAACGACCACAGACAATATAATACTGTATTGTCTGTGGTTCTAGTGTAGTGTCAAAGCTCATCAACCACTTGATGGAATGTTTCCTCGTTTTGAGGCCAATCATACAGTAGCTCGAAAGTTCTTGCAATTTTACATCCGACAGAGAATTGTAGCATTTGGATAAAGTGAATATACGATATTTCGAATGTCTTGTTTAACCAGCAGATGAATCTAAAAATCGGCTTTAGAACCAATAAATACAGGGTGATTCAAAATGAATGACCCAGTTTTAACGCTTTATAACTTTTATACTATTAAACTTACCGATATAAAATACACATCAAACGAAAAAGCAACTCAAAGAGTTTATGCCTTCCAAAGAGACATCATTTAACAAAATCGATCCAGCAGAACTGTAGATTTAATTGTACAAAGTTAAAAAGTAATCTCCAAATTTTTACCGCTAGAAATTTGGAGGTTACTTGACGTTTTTGCAAATAACTTTTAAATGGTGAGGAAATCGACCAAAGTGGAAGGTAATATTCCGAAAGAGAATAAAATTTCCTACAATCTACTATTATGCATTTCTTTAAAATACTCAATAAATGTAGCTTAAATTTGGCTTAAAATAAAAAATTGTGAAATTTAATGTTTGCTATGTTTATTGTCTACATTAAAGACGGGGATTTTCAATTTTTCTTTCATTTTGAGGCATTTTTTGGTACCTTTCTTGAGTATTTTCAAAAAATGCATAATAGTAGATTGTAGGAAATTTTATTTTCTTTCGGAATATTACCTTCCACTTTGGTCGATTTCCTCACCATTTAAAAGTTATTTGCAAAAACGTCAAGTAACCTCCAAATTTCTAGTGATAAAAAAAGTTGGGGATTACTTTTTAACTTTGTACAATAAAATCTACAGTTCTGCTGGATCGATTTTGTTAAATGATGTGTCTTTGGAAGGCATAAACTCTTTGAGTTGCTTTTTCGTTTGATGTGCATTTTATGGCGGTAAGTTTAATAGTATAAAAGTTATAAAGCGTTAAAACTGGGTCATTCATTTTGAATCACCCTGTACTAGATTGACAGATTGACCAGTCAATCTTTTGTCTCATAGTATACTTGTTGAAAACAAACCTACGACACAACCTACACTGCTAGAACAATTACACACAATTAAATTACTAATAACGTAGTTCATTTAAATAGTAACAACAAAACTACCTGTATAAAAATGGTACTACAATTAGTCATTTATATAGGTACCCTAGATTACAACTGATCCGATATTTACAAAAAAAGACTTTTGATTGCCAAGCTCCGAAGATTAAAAATCCTAGGAGCGAAGCATTGAGATGCTTTAACAATAGGAGGAACTATAATGTGAACTGCAGGAACTGTAACTGTAGAAGAAATGGCGCAAGATGCCACAGTCACCAAGACTTGGGCCATGTTTAATTGAATACTTGGGTCACCAACCGTATTTAATTGAATGAACCTCTTATTTAGAATATATTGCTGTCGAAATTTTATCGCTTGGATTTTTCTGAACTGTGATAGTAGCTATGAACTAAAGTGCGTGAAAGCTCATCAGTCGTCTTTCAGTTTGGTGTGAGTAAACAGTTAATGTACAAGAAATTAAACTGTTTTGCAGTGCTACAGCAGTATACTCTGTCGTTGGCTTAATTGAACCAAGTGTTTTTAACTGCCTCCAACATCAAAATAGAAATGGCCTGCTGCACGATTATGCATCTCTTGCCGTTGGTCGCCGTAGTCTCTCCCAACTGGCATTAGTGTAGTCCTTTAACTATATGGACTATTTCGTAATCCTACTGCTACAACTTTGATCTGTAATATTCCAGGTGTCCAAGAGACGCAACCCTGGGTACGAGGCTCTCCACGGTCATCACTCCGAGCGGCTCATAGAGAGGCTCGGGCTAGGGGAAGATGGTCGTGAGGAGGAGAGGAGGCAACAACAAGCCATCCGAGACATCGGGGTGCCGATCACGGGGAAGCGGTGACTGGGAACGTGAAGGAAGTTGACATGAACTGATCAGACTGATGCGCAATAACTTGTATTTACTCTCAATACCCGTCTCGTCCTGGGTGCTAGTTGCCAAGAAGTGATATTTGGATGGAGGGCCTCACATTAGTCCAATTTACTTGTTATGCACTTACAGTAGTCAAAACTATTTTCGTCCGATCCTGATTGTTGAAGTTTACCAACTTTTCTTGATTAGCTACGACCAATCATACATCATTTAGTATGCTATCAATAAAGACCTATTTGCATACTAATTGAGTTAGTTATTTTTCCAACATCAACGCAAGTGCATTTTCATAATGAAACACAAGGATTTTTTAAATTAAAAACTCCAAAATGACCTAAATATCTTGTAATAGCTTAAAAAGTTCACTTGCACCATCAAAAACCAAAGACACTATATTACATTGTTTGTACACAAATTCACACGTGAAACATGAAGATATTCCCTTGTATCTGGTGTTGGCCTGGTGGTGACGTCACTCCAGGTAACCGTTATGTGCTGCTTTCTCCCGCGATTTCTACAGACGGCCAAACCTTTGTTGGCGATTTTCAATACTGAAGAAGCATTATTTACCATCCACGAGGACGGGGATATGAATGAATAAAATGTTAACATGTGACATTCTTTTAAAAAGCCAACCACAACCTGTGGTAGTCATGTAAAATCCGCTTGTTTTACTATGTGAAATATACTTGTAGAATTCGTAAAGATAAACTGATTGAATAGCAGCCTTTGTGTTTTAACCAATCCTAAGATTACCAAACACTCACAATTGATAGTTAAGATAACAAAAGAACAAGACTTGAACCGATCCCTTGCAAAAAGTTAAACAAAACACCATTGGCATACAAAAAAAACCCTAAAAATTCATGAATTCTAGATAGAATTACTTTCTATCTGAATCCATATCTGGAACTCGCTTTTGCATAGAAGGCGTACACGCTACTCAAGACTCAAAACACGCTGAGTCCTCCAGAGAGTGATCGTACAGCGCCGTGCTCATAGCGCCAGGGAAAATGGCGGAATATCGTGATCTCACAGCGCCGTCTACCTGGACCAGGCATGTATTCCTGCTCTACTGTAATATTGTCCTTCTTTAAAGATTATAAATTTGGTTCTTAAATTGGAATGATTAGGTACTGTACGTACTATTATACACAATAGTTCCAATAATATCAAATCCGAACCTCAAAACTACGAATGGAAATGGAAGTTCTGTCACAACTCCTACTTACTAAATAAAGCTGGAAGTTACTTTTACACCAGTCCCTTATTGAACTGGTCAGTAGCAATTCAAAATGAGACGCTATTGCCTCCATCCTTGCTACGATCTCAAATTACAAATTTTAATTTCTCAGTTAACAATGTCCACTTCTCAATCACAGTGTCTCAACTCAAATTCCTGGGGTTTCTTCAAATTAAAAAATACCATTTTATCATTGGTAATGGGCCGTCACCACCATCGTGTAAATCCTATCGAGAGGAAGAAGAAGATGATGACGTCAGTTGCGGAAGTGAAAGACTTTCACTTTTACTTTCTTTTGCAGCCTCCGCTGCCTTCACCTTCACCTTCTTCGAGCAGATCTCCTAGGCCGTGGCCACCTACTGCAGTTTTGGCGGGCAAATCTTGGTGGCCGTGGCCGCATAGGCTACTACACGTATTGTTTAAGCGGGTAAAAAAATTAAAACAAAATAAAAAGACCGGTTGTCATTTTGCAACAATGCAAATTTTTAATGGTTAAGTATTCATCAGTACCAAAATTAACTACAGGCTGATGACCGCAAACCCAAGTAAAAAATCGCATGATTTAGCAAATACGGAAAGTAAAACGAATAATTTTTTAACTTACACCTACGTGGTGGATATAGTTTTTAAATAAAGCATTGCAGTTAACTGTTGATATTATATAGCTAAAATTTACAATTTATTTCCGTGCAAACCACCATCGTTGTTTCAATTGCCTGAATAGTAACGCCAATTAGTATTTTTCTTAACAACTAAGGCCTGATAATACATCAGCAACCCGAAACGAGAAGCTGTATGAAATAGGTATTGCACGAATACTTGAATGGACACAGTATGGATCATTAACATAAACAAATTATGTTAATGGGTATATTAAACATTATTTAACAATGCTTCAATGAAAATGTCTAAACCATAATGTTAAAGCTAGGTCTATTAGTATAAACCATAATGTTAAAGCTATTAGTATAGGACTAGTTGTTCTGCCCGTGCTTCGCTACGGGGTAAGAATGCAGAAAAGAGTAAAATTCGGTGTTACTATAAGATACTATAAGAAACAGTTACAACACACTTACCAGGAAACCTATAGGCAAAGGCTCAATCGTGCTTATTGATTATTTAAATGAAGATCTCTTAACGTATTAGGTACTTATGGTGTATTTCATTTAAAATATATGCAAAAGTATAATTCATTGGCTAAATTAACAATTTTATCCTTGTAAACAAAATAAATTAAATAGCAGAACGAAGCATAACAGCTGGGTAAATAAATGTTCTTCATACGAAATACATTGGAATTTTGATGGCCTGTGGGGCAAAGCCCGAGGACTTTTATTAAAGAAACTGGTGAAAGGGGGCGTCTACACAAAAAATACTTAATTTTGGACATATAGTTTGTAAAAATCCGCCCATTATTAAGGGAGGAGTAGTGCTTCGTAGAAATCGCCTTCACGTGTATATAATATATATAAAAGGATTCGGACCAGTTACGTCATTTGCTTATGTTTGTGATCCATACCGCTGTCTGCTCTAATGGTCGAGGGTATTACTGAATTATAAAGTCCTAAGTACAATTTTAAATTAAGATTATAATTTAGACAAACTAGCTGTTACCTGCTACCTGCTACCATGGATAAAACATACTCCCTTTTAGCTACTAACCACGGGCTTCACACAGTTTGACTTCATAAGTAATAATTATAAAACTATTGATTTGTTTAGTTCCTTCCACCATGGTTAAGTTAAGCTGAAATAAACAAAACAGAATACAGTAATACAAACAAATAATCACACTTAATTTGTTAATAAGGTAGCCTATTAAATTGAAGGGATAGCAAAAAAAGTAGGCCTACAGCTGAGGTATTTTTAACATTAGTTATATGGAAAGTTCCCTTTAGAAACAAATTACATTTTAAGTACATAGTTTTATAGGGGTGTGACTTTTAGTTTTTTTTTTTTTTTAAGTTCATGGCTACATTGGGATTTATATATGGATTTTTTCTGGTATCTTCTTGTCGGGCTTATTAGCAATTCCCAATTCCAACCAGAAACTCACTAGTACCAACTCGTTATCACTTTAATAGATTCAACAATGGTCCACATTTCCAGAGATTAATTCATACTTAGTGATTCTATCATAGATAAAAGGAGTATCTAGAATGCATGCATTCTGTTGTTCGCCATTGGCCTTTTGTTTTTGATTTCTCGTAAGGGAACGGTCCAAGCCCTGTTCTATTGCTATAGGCTATTAATTAATGCAAAGTCTCATTTTTGTTAGATTTTCTGATTAATTGATAGTCCAACCAATAATTGCCCCATCGTCCAGGATCAACCTTTAATCGGGATCTAAACACAATCTTCATTGAGAATTTGAATTTGAATTTGTCATCTTCGTTGACAATTTGAAGGCGAAATCAACCCTACATTGTCAGATTTATGTAAAACATACAATCTCAACCAAAAACACGTCTGGACAAACAAATAACAAACAACTACAGAACTGAAAGTGAAAGCGGTCGAACAAACAAGTTGAACGACTTGCTTAGACCACTACTGCCCAGTCTTGATTATTATTTATATTACAACATTAACACGTTTAAAATACGTGGACGTTTACTTTATACGTTTACAACAGTTGTATCATATACTAATCAACACAAGTAGACTTCTCATCCCATTGTAAACTTTGAAGTTTGTTTTTCGTGTCTGTTTCATGCCCGTTGACACTGATCGCTAGTGTCGACAAAATGTTGCTTATATTATTTTAGGGTTAATGATTTGTGATTGTGCTTTACTGTTTGGTCATATCTAGGGGACTAGTTATTATTTATGATTAGATCGTTTTATTTGGTGAAACTTTAAAACCTTAAATGACTGAAAATAACAATAAACAAATTGTAATCATAACACGACCTCTACAGTATATACAGAACTATAAACACTATAACAATAAACAATATAACTATAACCTTATAGTCAATGCTATAATTATAATAATAACAATAAAACTGGCTTCAACTGTTGGATAAGGATGAGAAATCTAGGGAGTTCTACAGTACCCAGTACCTTTGCACATATACAGTACCTATATTTTTATCATGAAATAAAAAGCGAAAAACGAGGTGCAACTGAGATTACCGAGAGTATATCCATCTGTTTCAACTCAAACGGTTATTTAAAAGTAAAAAAGCCACAATATTGCTTTTGCAATGTGTAAATGTTGCTTGCAAAATGTAAATCTGATGAAAAACGTCAGAACAAAAAGCGAAGAAAAAGTTTCGATCCAGTGGTTATGTGTTTATGGTTCTAATGGTTCTAGTCTTTAAGTTCTCCCAGTGCCTCCTACATTCTGGGGCGACCAGAAGTGCCTTTGCCACTGCCTTCTTGATTTCGACTCTGACTTGGCGTCTACACTCTCACTTTCTTCCGTACTTTCCCTCCAGTCGTCGCCACCGCCACCCTGTCAGACAGTTCCCGCCCGGCGTCATGGCCAGGCCGCCGGGGCATCAGCTGGTAAGTGGCCTTTCATACGATACAGTGTTATAGTCATAGTGTGTTCTTGTATTGATTCATCAAGGGTTGTTACTGACACAAATGGTTTTATTTTAATTTTAGAGACAATTCTCTTGAAAAGAACTATAGCTTTAGACATGCGTGAAAAGGGTACTGTGTAGTATCATTGTACACTTTTAGCGTAACTATTCCCAATCAGATGGAATTAGTAATTGTGGGATTTACACTGCCAAACCATGAAGGCATTTACGACACGGCAGTAAATTATTTTTATATTTTTATAATTATTCTTTGGGATCTAACAACATTACTCTTCGTCAATGAGGCGCACTATTTATTTGGACGGAAGTGTTACACACGGTTTCACTTTTTCATGTTTGCACTCGTAATCGGTATTTATTATGGTTGAATTTTAGTGGACATAGAGTTGCGATCGAATTAAGAACTTATACGTTAGAATAAAATCACAGAAGATGACATAATTAATTATAGTCGATGATTAAACAGTATTGTAAATGCTGGCACCTTCACATAAATGGACGCATAATTAAGATATTTAGATATTTTTTCTGTCGTCTTTTGCATTGACGATAAGGAAAACGGCGACTAATTTGTTACCATTGATCCAGTTAAACTTAACGTTTTCAAACGGCCATTAAAGTACTTTGCAAATACATAGGGAGATAATTTGTTTCTGGAAAAGTTTATAGTCATTTATTTAATTTAATTTTACCTCGATTTCATGTAGTGTCGAATAGTTTTGCGATCGTATAAACAGTATTGTAAATAAATATCCCCCTGACTAAATAATGATTGTTAATAGGCTAAATTAAATTAGCTAAAAATACACGTAAGCCTTATAATACTTTGGGTACAACAACAAAAACAACATTAAATTCATAAACAAAATAATGGGACTTGCATATTAAAAACTATTTCAAAGGCTAAATTCCCGCTTTTAATTTGCTTCAGTTGACATCTTTGACTAAACCTTTGAGTATATCGATTTCCAATTGTGTTTATTTTCGTACATTGATACATTTCAACGAATCGGGAATCGTCCAATTTTAGAAGCACCTAACATCGTCGGGAAGAAAGTTTCCACTCCAACAATGAAAGTATGTCCTCCCCCCTTCTCCTCCCCCCACTCAAACTGTTCACAGTTGAAAGTAAAAGCTGAGGCAACAGTAACCGCAACTTCAGGACACTGTGGGGTGAGGGGAGGGGGCCGGTGGCGCAACATGCACTCAAACCTGCGTAATGCTGCGCTGCTGTGTGTAGTCGCGCAATGACGTAATGAAAACGAACGATAACAGTTTTAGATTAGATTGTCAATGCTTTTAGGAAACGGTTTAGGTAATATAGTACCTCTAAAAGTGTGTAGTATTATTTCTTAATGTACAATGTTCACAGTGAGAATCTCAATACACACATGTTATAGAATTTTGAGATATTGGTATATTGAAATTAAATTTAAAAAGAAAAATATTTTTTTAAAGTCTTCTCAAAGAGAGTAAATGAACTGATGATCTTGACAACAAATTACAGTTTAAAATATGTGTATGTTTCTATATTAAACATATAAATATATGTTTCACTCGGCTTACTGCATTGCATCATTATTGTTCCTATACTGGTTTTGTTTTTCGAATCTCTCGTTTTGTCAACTTGTTCAGATAGTTTGTTATTTTTAGTTGTTACTTATAGTTTGTTATTCATAGATTGTTATTTATAGTTTGTTATTTATAGTTGTTATTTATCTTTTTATGTCTTGTTATTGAAGTCTTATTTTCCAGTTTTTTTCACTACTTTTGTACTGGCCTGTGATTTTTTTTCTGATTCTTCTGTATGTAAGATTATTGTATTTTTCATGTAAAAATGGTGCAACCGTTTACAAATAAATAAATAAATAAATATAGGTACTGAACACAATATTGTAACAGAGATTGAAAAGAGACGTGTAGTTCATGTAGGTTTACTGGTATCAACATTAGCATAACCTGGATATTATTGGATAATCAAACTAAAATTTGCCTTCATAAACCAGTTGAGTAAATATTTAAAAAATTATAATTAAATAGGTAAACCTTAATGAAATAGAGCGGATATACAAAATTCAAGTACTGTACTGTTTTCACAAATATAATGTAGCCCCAAAATACTTAACTGCAAAAATCATTTCAAGCATCAACTAAAAAATAGTATTGCACCAGAAGAACTGTTGTATAAAATAAAAACGTTAGTATTAACTATCACACAGACAGGCATTATGATCCAAATCATTATTATTTGAGTATTCACTATTTTGATATGGTAAGTAACACAATAAAACAGAACTAGTGATAGGCAGGTTAGTATGTACCATTTTAGGAAATACATTTCATATTTGATATATTATAATGTGAATGTGTCAAGTGTTTAATCTGTTTTTATCTGTGATTATAAGAAACACCAAACAAAAACTTTGCATTTTTTTCATTCGAGCAAATTACATTTTAAAAAAATGTGGGGGCACCATTTTTATCACCTTCACCTATGGGGTTTTGGTTTCTTCCTTTTAAATCTGGTTTAGTTTTCAATTTTTTATACAGGAAAATCTAAATTATCAGTTTGTGATCTAATGCTCTCATTACATCTCCTGAACCAAAAGGTAGAGTGGAGGGGAGAAAACGAAACTAACCCAGTTTGCCAAGAAAGGTTACGAATCTTACTTCATTACTGGTGAAACTAGGTCCTCCCCCCTAGCTTCATGTTGTGCAACTAATGCCAGGGAAATGCAATCTGCAACTAAACCAATGGAAAATCATGCTATATCATAATAATATATATCTAATATATGATATGATATAAATATGATATGAATCTAAAATAGTTTTAAATACAATTTTGTGTTTTTTATGGAAGTCAGATTTGAATAATTACTCAATTTTAGATATTTTCAAATACAAATATACAGTATGTCGAATATAATTTTTTGATGAAATACTAATTAGCCTACACTGGCATCGTTTCAATCTGTACCCCTTTCAATTTCATGTACAGTATAGATTTTTGTGTAATGGAACTATATTTTTTCTTTCATTCTGTGAAGTGGGAGGACTGATGCAACTAGATGTCAAAAGAGATTCACTTCTCTACCTTAAAAAAGTATTTGTAAATGGTTTTTTTATTAGGCTTTAGCTGGGGATTGTTTTTGACACAGACTAGGACTAGATTTTGTGGCATTATTACTTTGATAAAATCCATTGGGGATTGGCGGGATTAGTACCTGGGACCCGTGGACCGAAGAAACTACACCACTAGACAAGCTCACACCCCATTTGTAAACGGTTACAGCAAACTACAGTGTGCATTTAGTAAAAAAAAAATTATATTAATACTTGTCAAATCTTAATATACAATAGGCTACTATGAACTGCAATACCTGTGATTTAACGGGAAGAGATAATGCGGTTCTTTATATCTGCTGTATGAAATAGTTACCTTTCCATCCATTATTTATTTTCAAAACAAAACATAATTTCACTGAATAGTTTGATAGCATTACACATTTATTTTATGTACACTAGCAGCCGTGACTTCAAAACATGTGATATATTTTATACCTATAGTTGACAAGGGTAAAAACTATTATTTCTCATCATATCCCTATTATTTTCATTGTGTGCGCAAACTCTTAGAGGTATCTTAAAAAAATCACGAATACTAATGAAACATACTATGAAAACACAAAATATAACGTCATTTTCTTCTTGACATTTTAAACAAATAACATTACAATATTTTACTTGAATTCCCTACAACATTAATGAAACATACTATGAGAACACAAAATCCTATCACAATACAAAATCTAACAGTCATTTTCTTCATTACATTCTATACAAATATCATTACAACATTTTACTTGATTTCACCTAAGCATCACCAACTACAACAGATAACCCCATTTATAGATGTAAACAAAATTGTATCATGGTCATCTGTTTTGACGTAAACAAAAATGTAAACTTGAAAAAGTTCAGATGATTGACAACAGGACGATGGCATGGTGTTTCCACCCTTAACGCATTCTGTGACTGGCTCTCATAACTATTGTTCTTTTTTAGTAAAATAAATGGCGACAGCTGTTCCATATAGATGGGATGTATACTTCAGTATCCAATAGTCAATGATTTAAGTATTAACTAGAGGACCCATGCTGCTCCGCAGCGATAAAATGAATATAATATCCGAGATATAGGCCTAACCAAGTTCATGATTTGTGATTGAGTAAAACAGTATCTTGAGCTTAACTGATTCAAACGATCAATAGCTCAAATTAAAGCCTATAATTGACTGATTATTTTGAGTCTAAAACTTATAAAAAACCTAAACATTACTGGAGCTATTGATTGTTACTCATACAATTACCTTATATAAAAAAAAATGTTTGTTGTTCACCTTGCGTTTGCTTGAAACTCGCCCGATTTGAAAAACTAATAGCTTAAATGAAAGCCGGTATTTCTCTGGAGGTTCTTAGACCAAAATATATAGGATTATATAATTATATAACTGGTGAAATACATCTTAAATTGAAGAAAGAATCCGAAAATGAATCAAATTACGTTTTTTGGTCAAACAATACAGTAGGTAAATATATGCCGATGCTTGATGGCAAATCGGTGCGTGCATACCTTCAATTTGAGACCTCAATCATGAAAATCGGTCGGGTAAAAGGGCCAATCGAACTTGGAAAAGATAAACCAAATTTAACTCCCATAAGAAATACATGGGGAGCAAATTTCTTTTACGTATAAGCCGAGTGGGATTATAGATAAATATATGCCGATGCTTGATGGCAAATCTGTGCGTGCATACCTTCAATTTGAGACCTCAATCATGAAAATCGGTCGGGTAGAAGAGTCAATCGAACTCGGCAAAGATAAAATAAATTTAACTCCCATAGGAAATACATGGGGAGCAAATTTCTTTTACGTATAAGCCGAGTGGGATTATAGATAAATATATGCCGATGCTTGATGGCAAATCTGTGCGTGCATACCTTCAATTTGAGACCTCAATCATGAAAATCAGTCGGTTAGAAGAGCCAATCGAACTCGGCAAAGATAAACCAAATTTAACTCCCATAAGAAATACATGGGGAGCAAATTTCTTTTACGTATAAGCCGAGTGGGATTATAGATAAATATATGCCGATGCTTGATGGCAAATCTGTGCGTGCATACCTTCAATTTGAGACCTCAATCATGAAAATCGGTCGGGTAGAAGAGCCAATCGAACTCGGCAAAGATAAACCAAATTTAACTCCCATAAGAAATACATGGGGAGCAAATTTCTTTTACGTACCAGCCGAGTGGGATTATAGATAAATATATGCCGATGCTTGATGGCAAATCTGTGCGTGCATACCTTCAATTTGAGACCTCAATCATGAAAATCGGTCGGTTAGAAGAGCCAATCGAACTCGGCAAAGATAAACCAAATTTAACTCCCATAAGAAATACATGGGGAGCAAATTTCTTTTACGTATAAGCCGAGTGGGATTATAAATAAATATATGCCGATGCTTGATGGCAAATCTGTGCGTGCATACCTTCAATTTGAGACCTCAATCATGAAAATCGGTCGGGTAGAAGAGCCAATCGAACTCGGCAAAGATAAACCAAATTTAACTCCCATAAGAAATACATGGGGAGCAAATTTCTTTTACGTACCAGCCGAGTGGGATTATAGATAAATATATGCCGATGCTTGATGGCAAATCTCTGCGTGCATACCTTCAATTTGAGACCTCAATCATGAAAATCGGTCGGGTAGAAGAGCCAATCGGACTCGGCAAAGATAAACCAAATTTAACTCCCATAAGAAATACATGGGGAGCAAATTTCTTTTACGTATAAGCCGAGTGGGATTATAGATAAATATATGCCGATGCTTGATGGCAAATCTGTGCGTGCATACCTTCAATTTGAGACCTCAATCATGAAAATCGGTCGGGTAGAAGAGCCAATCGAACTCGGAAAAGAACAACCAATTTTTTTTAATATATAAGATGCTATTATAAACGAGTAATTTTTACCATCGACATCGACTGTAAAATATATTAATATGTTGTGGATTGCCAGGTTAACATTTTCATCATAAAAAATTGAAATTCCACTGAAACTTAAATAATAAAAGCCAAAATTAGTTGTAAATAAAAATGTGAGTTTCCTTTATTGCTTTTACAATCAAAATAAATTATACAGAGCCATGACTCGGTCCCCAGGTTCAATGAAAATAATTAAGAAACCTTACTGTATTAAGAAGCAATAACTATTTTTAAAATGTCGTATAACACTATGCATGTTTATTGTTCCAGGCATTTTGTCTATCGATATTTGTGTTGGTGATGATTTTGAACTCTTGCGAGTCCCTTCAACCGAGAGCCCCCAACTTCCAATACTTTGAAAGGTATTATATTATTATTATATATTATGAAAGGTATATAAAAAGTTGTATCTTGTATAATATGACACTACTGTCCTTGTGACGTGGCTTGTCAATTACATTTTATCAGTCTAGTTTTAGCAAATACAGAACAATAAAACATAAATCTCTCTAATAAATTTTGTTGGCATACTAGCTTTTTAATTTATGTTCAGTTTTAACTGTTCATCCATAAGCCATCCCAACATAGAGAAAAACTTGTTTGCAAATTTTGATATAAACGTTTTGGCTGAGTATAGAGATTTTCAGGTGGAACTGTAATATTTATAATTGTAAACAACTTTAAAATCATGAAATGCAAAATAGTAAATTGGTGATTACATGACTTGCTTCGAAGGATATAAAGCTTGTGCTAATAACCCACTAAAGTTACATTGATGATCTCAGACACTGACAGACATGATTTGTAGAAAACACTCATGATCAAGACAGGCCAAGTCATTGGCCAAAAGTGAAACTAAGAGTGGACAGTGGAGTTTTTTTAAAACATACAGTAGTCAAAAAAGGTAACTGAGTACCATAGACAGTAAAGGGTCAAAAAGCCTCAGAATTAAATGACTAGGAACTTTAAAAATGCAGTAATGGCTCAAATCTCTGCGGCCAATGAGAATAACATTCGAATAGAAAACATGTTCCAACGTTACAGCATAAACAAATGTATTTGAAAAAATTTGAATTAAATAGAATAGAAGTACTGTGGATTTGTAAATAAAGTTTGGTCTTGAACTCTTTTGTTTTTTGTTAACATTATTGACTGTACACCACTACTAGAAGTGGAGAGTCAATGATAACATGCTAAAAAGTTCTTTTACTTTATGGATGACCCACATTTATATACAGGAATACAAATTTGAATAAATTGTACTTTTAACTATAAATGAAAAAAGAAAATAGCTCCCGGATCTAGCTCTTAACTGTCCCACCTAGTATTAGCATTGACTATTGGATAGCTTATTCCTTGCATGGGAAATTTGCTCAAAGAACCCATAGAACAACTAAACAGGAAAAAACCTAAATAAGTGTTGAATGGACTCCCCTGCGGTTGTGGAAAAATTGTCAATATATCTTGCGATCAAGAGGACGTCCTTATCGTCACCCCCTATAGAGCCAAATAATTGCATTTTTGTCCTAAACAATTGTTTTGCAAATCCAGCACTGTATAAGCATATTAGTAAGATCAACTTCCAGGCCACAGTTATTATTGCATAGAGTCGCAATAGAAGCTTCCGTTATGCATTGGAATTTGGGCTTATATTATCAGTTTTCTCAGTCCAAGAGAATTTTATAATTTATTCTTCTTCTTAATCTTAATCTTCCCTGTGTGTGTTTGGTGTTCCAGGCCGAAGTACAGGTACCCCTATTACGATGAGAACGGCAAGGGGAAGCTACTGTACGGCTACGGTGGTTCAGATCTCTATCAGTACAAGTCCTACTCTCCTCTCGAGGGGATACACTAACTTCCCTTAGCACATAGAGTATAAACTTCACTATCATTAGAGCATAGAGTAAGGTGAGCCAGGTGGAAACATGTTACCAAGTTGAACAATCAGTTGTATCACTAATCCAGTCTGGAATGCACTACTTTTTTTATGCTGTAGTTTTTCACTATAATTCCTATGCATATTTGTCCCACTGTAATATAATACTCTTACTGACTAACCCTTGACAAATAATAGTTCAATACTTGACACCAACCATATATAGAATGTAGTCTGTACGGAATCTGTATGTTTAATTTAGATTTAATCATAATTTTCAAGCAGTACAAATATTTCCATTTTAGTTAAACACTGTTTAGTAGTATATTCTATACTTTAAATGTGTATGGGTTAAACCACAATATTATACATTTTAGCTTTTTATTTCAATACTTATTTGACTGTTTCAAAATGTTATAAGAATGCACAATAGTGACATGTGTATTTGTTATCTTACTCAAGTCATAATTCAGTCATTCATTTATTAACCTATTACCTATGTGTTGTTTTTTTACACCATCAATCCTAGAGTAACCATATTTAAGCTCCATTACTTACTAAAACTTCACCATCATTCCTCAATTGCTAATTAATTATTCATCCAACATGAAGTAGAATGAAACCAACAAGAGTTGAATAATTACTTGAAATTCTATTCAGCACAACCTTTCATCCAATTTAAAATCTTCTTTTATATAAAAATGTTGTGGTGAATTCCAGACTGGTTACACTATTGTTCGTTAGAGTTAAGAACCATTAATAAACTAACCTATACAATATTTTCGAATTTCCGTGGTGTATGTCCGCTACCAGGCTTCAACCTGTCTACTCTGCTTCTCTATGTTATGGGAACTTTTTTGTCCTATTTATTATTTTTGTTTTGTTTTTAATCTATAATTGAGTTAAACAGTACTTAAAAGTGCTCTTAAAATAATGAAACATTGGTGTTTCAATCTATTTTGTATTGTATATATGTAATGTGTTTGAAAATAATATATATTTTGTGTTTCTTATGTGCGTTTTTGTTAATTTACCTGATTGTTAAGAGGTTCGTACCGTACAAAAAATGTTAAAACTCTGATGTGGAAAAAAGCAATGCATATTACAAAAACAATATATTTAGCATCAAAATCTTAACGGTATGTTTTTTAAATCAACAAAACTGTACATACTTTTACTTTCTATTAGCAACATAAAAGTTACTCAACACATCTTATTGCAGTGATTTAAAACTGTACTGGTAAGCATTACCTAATTTTGTGACTTGAAATTATGTTGATGATGACAATATGAAACTGAGGCAAAATCAACCTATAGTAAAAGTTCTGAACATCCTCTTCTGATAATATTTTAAAAAGGGTTCTGCTTATGTTTGCCAGGATTCTAGAAGGTTGTGAGCCCAATGTTCATTTTGCCACTTGTGCTGTGTCATCAGTAGCAATGGTTTTATTTCTTACAATATGATATTTAGGAGGACTTTGTGTAAAATACTGGGGATGTCTGGCAAGAAATTTTATGGAAAGAGAGATAGGTAGTTGCTAAAACGTTAAAAATTTACAACAAACTCTTTGTGTGCTGTACTCCTTCAACGAGCCAAACAGAACAAAGCATGATAATGAAATGAAATGAAATGAAATAAAAATATGTCTTTATTTAAGAGGTGAAGTTAGGACTAGCAAGTCCTCTTTACCACTTAACCTCTAAAACATAAATAAAACTATCCACTTTATAAATAAAATTAAATAATCTAAGGTACCATATTAAAAACATGTTGAAATTAAATTTAAACCCCAAAAGTCCATTCACACAAGCCGCCAACAACCCGCCACACCAGCGCCAGAGACTCATTCATGCCTGCTGCTCAAAATCATAGATTTTATCCATGCCCCAAACCTTGAGCATATGGAGAGTCTTGAACTACTCTCAGCTACAAAGTAGGTACGGTACTCTTGATTAGGCTACTCACATTGGACGCACGCTTGCACAAGTAATTTGGTGGTCCACTTGTGCTCAAGCGTGTGCTTAGAATCAAAATCTTACAAGATTGACAGAAACAAGTGGCGACTTGTCCATTGCCGCTCACACTGTCCTTCACCAGCACGGGCAAGCTTGCTCTGACCTCGCACAAAAAAATATTTGTTTTGTGGTTGCAAGCGTGCGCAAGTAGCAGGATCTCTGTTCAGAGTTCAGTAGATTTCTGAACATTGATTCAGAGTGAAAGTGACGTGCTTACTATGGATATGGAAATTCTTATCGACAAAATAGATTGCCTGTTTAAGGCCAGGGACACACTTACCGGCGAAACCACCGAGCGCCGCATCCGGCGGATCCGCCGGAGGTTGAGGGTCAGAACACACTTGTTCCGGCGAAAACTATTTTGCCGGAGCCAGCGACAATAAATAGAGTGCAATGAACTCTTAATGAGTTTTGCCTTACACTAGTACAGTTCTAGTACAGTTTAGTCTTAGAAATGGTGCTGTCAAGACCTCAAAAGTTGGCCTTGCTGTGTTTGATCCACCACAGAAGGAAGAGAAAACACCACCGAACTGTTTGGGTACATCCTATTCTGGAGAACAGACAGCTACATGGAGCTTTTTACACTCTATTTTTACAGTTGAGAAATGAAGAAAATACGTTTTTTAATTATTTTCGAATGTCTGTCCCCTCATTCGACGAGCTACTATCGAAGATTAGCAAATACAAGGATAAAACAAATACATGAGACGCTGGAGAGGCTGGATTCAGTGCGGCACAAATTTGTCGCCAGCTGCTGCTGTCCCTCGTTTTGTAAATATCCAAAGACCTATCACAAAGTTCTGGTTTCTCATGAACCAAACTAATAAGTAAATCCATATCAACATCTACCATGATGATATAGAAAACTAAACAGACTAAAAATAAAAACTAAATCAATTAAATAGCAAAACAAAACTAAATACAACACTTGGACACTGCATTAAAATCATAAACAACCACCACTCTCGAGGGTTGAACCACAACTGAGGAGTGGGGGCAGTGGCAGTCCGGCTGTTTCGCCGGTAAGTGTGTTCATCTCCATAAGGCACAATGCCCCGCTACCCACTGCTCCGGCGAAACCGCCGATCCGGCGGTCCGGCGAGGTAGAGAATATCCGGCGGGTTCGCCGGAGCATTTTCCCGCCGGATCGGCAGATTCGCCGAACCGGAGAAGTGTGGCCTGCCCCATGCCTTCCTGTGTATCTCAACTTGCTCCGGCGCCGCCGGATCCGGCGTCCGGCGGTTTCGCCGGTAAGTGTGTCCCTAGCCTAAGGTAGGAGTTCTTTTGTCCAGTATGCAATAGAAAATCTCTGGCTTCATTCTGTAGTACTGGAAAAACTTTTAAGGTTGTCTTAGCAGGTCATTGAAGATTCATACATAATCTCCATCTTTCTCGTTGTTCACAAAATACTCGTTAACTACTCGTTCTTAAAATCTTGTTCATCAAATAATAAAAAATACCACTTCTGTCATCAAGGTCTGACATCTCCATTTCAACTGACCTGTTTATCTATTCTATTTATCTATATATCTATATATTAATAGGCAAGCATGTTTCTTTAAAACCTTTTTTCTCAGCTCATGTGCATCGTAGGGAAAATCTACGCATACTGTTAGAAAGCTATTTTCCTGTAGGTGTGCAGAATCCCTTTATAAATTAAAATAAGCTCAAAAATAAGCACAAAAAATGAATTTAAAATTTTGAAAAATTTAACATGGATATTATGAGTTGCCATGCTGGTGACGAAATAACAACGAAATATAAACAGAAAATCAAAACAAATGGAAGAAACTCCAATCACATGTTCTATTCAAAGTGTGGAATGAAAATAAAGAAGTCTGTACATTAAATATTTTTGGTCGAGTTTCGACCACTGGACGACCTCTAGTACTTATTTAATAGGCAAGCAGGTTTTTTGTGATCTATTCTATATATCTATATATCTATACGGTATTTAATACGCAAGCAGGTTTTTTGTGACAATTTACTCCTCCGAAACTACTGAACCGATTGACATGCTATTGGTCTCATTGGAAAGAGCGTAGCGTGAAGTTGTGCAGGAAACTTTCTTTTTAGGGAAATAATTAGAGAGTGAGGCCCTGGGGCCCTTTAAAGTTTTGTATTTCTCCATAAGATTAACATGGGAAACAAAAATTGTTATGAAACTCCAGCTGTTGTCAGAAATTAAAAGTGAGAAGAAGAACATATGTTGTAAACCGTTAATAAGTTTGCTAATTTAACAGTTTGCTACAACATTTACTGACTTCGTTGAAATGAAATGTTTACTATTTGAATTTGGGTTGGTGTAAATATTACAATGGAAAAAAGTGAGAGAGCCTGGATAAATTGATATCTTGAAAAGAAAACTGAATTAACACTGTGCTGCATTTCTTATTAATAATTGAAAGAGCCCATTTGCAAACTATGGAACCATATAGGAAAGTCATAGAACACCACCAAGGAGAAGAAATAGAAATGTTTTTTTTTATATTTATAATGTTATTATGGGTAACCTAATGCGGCTACGAGTAAGGCTATTTGTAGAAAACGCTAAAAACAAGATCAGCTTTTAAAAAAATGATAAGATATTTACAAGAAATTGTGATTATATCGATCTGTTATGTACCTACATCATGAGTATTTCCAAAATCTTTGAGTTGAATCTTTTAAAGTCATCAGAAATTATGACTGTTATTCGTTTTAAAATAACGCCTTTAATACTTAGCAATTGCTGGAATTCGAGCTACAGGGACACTAGTACTTATTTAATACGCAAGCAGGTTTTTTGTGACAATTACTCCTCCGAAACTACTGAACCGATTGACATGTTTTTGGTGTCATTGGAAAGAGGGTAACGTGAAGTTGTGCAGGAAACTTTCTTTTTAGGGAAATAATGAGATTGAGGCCCTGGAGCCCTTTAAAGTTTCGTATTTCTCCATAAGGATTAACATATGGGAGATAATTTTTATTTACAGAAAAATATGTTTGTTACGGTACTTGAAAATAGTCAAAGTCTACTACATAATAATTGCTGTGTATTATGACTCTTAATGTATACCTACAGTACTACATTTCAATCAAGGATTGTGTACCTTAAAGTTTACCCATAATGGATCTTACTACTTTATTTTAATGCTGGGAATAGTAAAATTTAGTGGAGAATAAGTTTTCATGATTTAGAAAACTTTACTGTAATAATTTATGTATTTAAATCACAAATCTTTGACATTAGGTATTAATTCATTTGAAACTAAACAGCTGATCGAAAAATCAAACAAAGCATCTACTTCATGTGAATAATGTTATTACACAAACATAGTTTTGTTTTTAACCA